AAGTGGCTATACATTTACACACACAAGAGCAATATAAGGGGACCAATTTTTCTATATCCTCACAAACAGTTGTTATTACCTGTCCTTTCTTATAATAGTCATCCTAATGGGTATAAGGTGGTATCTCATTGTGGTTTTAATTTGAATTTTCCTAATGACTAATGATGTTGAGAATATTTTCAGGGGCTTGTTGGCCATTTGTATATCTCCTTTGGAGAAATGTCTACTCAAATGCTTTTCCCATTTTACATTGATTTGTCATTTTATTGTTGAGTTGTAATTATTCTTTATATACAATTATACATGGTCATTATCATATATACGATATTAAATTATTTTATCACATTCTATGAGTTATCTTTTTATTTTTTTGATGCTGTACTTTGAAGTAAAAAAAGGTTTTAATTTTGATTAAGTCAAATTTATGTTTTCTTTTGACACTTATTTTTCGGTGTCATATCTGAGAAATTGTTGTTTTATCCAAGGTCACAAGGATTTACTCCTAAGCTTTCCTATTAGAGTTTTACAGTTTTTATCTATTAAGTACAGGCCAATCATCCATTTTGATTTAAGCTCTGTATGTGGTATAACACAAGTGTTTAACTGAACTCTTTTGAATGTGGATATCTAGTAGTCCAGCATGCCCCAAGTGATGTTCGGCAAAGGGGCAAAAGCAGTTCAATGGAGAAATGAGAGCTGTTCTAAGAAATGGTATCAGAGCAATTGTTCACTCATATTTTTAAAAGATCATACTGAATGGGCAAAAACTGGAAGTATTCCCTTTGAAATCTGGCACTAGACAAGGATGCCCTCTCTCAACACTCTTATTCAATACAGTATTGGAAGTTCTAGCCAGAGCAATCAGGTAAGAATAAGAAATAAAGGGTATTCAATTAGGAAAGGAGGAAGTCAAACTGTCTCTATTTGCAGATGACATGGTTGTATATTTAGAAGACCACATCGTCTCAGCCCAAAATCTCCTGAAACTGATAAGCAACTTCAGTAAAGTCTCAGGATACAAAATCAATATGCAGTAATCACAAGCATTCCTATACACCAATAACAGACTAACAGAGAGCCAAATCAAGAGCAAACTGCCATTCACAATTGCTACTAAGAGAAAAAAATACCTAGGAACACAACTAGGAAAGGATGTAAAGGACCTCTTCAAGGAGAACTACAAACCACTGCTCAAGGAAATAAGAGAGGACACAAACAAATGGAAAAACATTCCATGATGATGGTTAGGAAGAATCAATATTGTGAAAATGGCCATACTGCCCATAGAAATGTACAGATTCAACACTATCCCCATCAAGCTACCTATGACCCTCTTCACACAGAACTGAAAAAAACCACCTTAAACTTCATATGGAACCAAAAGAGAGTCTGCATAGCCAAGTCTATCCTAAGCAAAAAGAACAAAGCTGGAGGCATCACGCTACCTGACTTCAAACTATACCACAAGGCTACAGTAATCAAAACAGCATGATACTGGTACCAAAACACAGATATAGACCAGTGAAACAGAACAGAGGTGTTAGAGGCAACACCACACATTTACAACCATCTGATCTTTGACAAATCTGACAAAAACAAGCAACAGGGAATGGATGCCCTGTTTAATAGATGGTGTTGGGAAAACTGGCTAGCCATGTGCAGAAAACAGAAAGTGGACCCCTTTCTGACACCTTACACTAAAATTAACTCCAGATGGATTAAAGACTTAAACATAAGACCTAAAACCATAAAAACCCTAGAAGAAAACCTAGACAAAACCATTCAGGGCATAGGCACAGGCAAGGACTTCATGACTAAAACACCAAAAGCATTGGCAACAAAAGCCAAAATAGACAAATGGGATCTAATTAAAGTCCAGAATTTCTATAAAGCAAAAGAAACAATCATAGAGTGAACCGGCAACCAACAGAATGGGAAAAACAATTTTGCAATCTTCCCATCTAACAAAGGGCTAATATCCAGAATCTACAAAGAACTAAAACAGATTTACAAGTAAAAAACAGACAACCCCATTCAAAAGTGGGCAAAGGAAATGAACAGACACTTTTCAAAAAAAGACATATATGAGGAAAACAAATATATGAAAAATGCTCATCATCACTGGTCATTAGAGAAATGCAAATCAAAACCACATTGAGATACCATCTCATGCCAATTAGAATAGTGATCATTAAAATTCTGGAGACAACAGATGTTTGGAGAAGATGTGGAGAAATACGAACACTTTTACAGTGTTGGTGGGAGTGTAAATTAGTTCAACGATTGTGGAAGGCAGTGTGACAATTCCTTAAGGACCTAGAAATAGAAATTCTATTTGACCCAGCAATCCCATTACTGGGTATATACCCAAAGGATTATAAATCATTCTATTATAAAGACACATGCATATGTATGTTTACCGTGGCACTGTTTACAATTGCAAAGACCTGGAACCAACCCATCGATGGTAGACTGGATAAGGAAAATATGGCACATATACCCCATGGAACACTATGACGCCATAAGAAATGATGAGTTTGTGTCCTTTGTAGGGACATGTATGAAACTGGAAACCATCATTCTCAGCAAACTGACACAAGAACAGAAAATCAAACAACACATGTTCTCACTCATAGGCGGGTGTTGAACAATGAGAACACATGGACACAGGGAGGGGAGCATCACACACTGGGGTCTGGTGGGGAGGGTGGAGAGGGATAACAGGGGGAGAAATGTCAGATATAGGTGACGGGGGATGGAGGCAGCAAACCATATTGCCATGTATGTACCTATGCAGCAATTCTGCATGATCTACACATGTACCCTAGAACCTAAGATACAATTAAAAAAAAAAGAATCTCAACATAAACCTCTTCCATTATAGAAGAATTAACTCAAAATGGATCACAGAACTAAAGGCATATCTTCCAACTATAAAAGTTGTGGAGGAAAATATAAGAGAACATTGTCATCACCTTGGGTTAGCTGAAGATTTCATAGACATGACACAAAAAGCACAATCTATAAAAAAGATAGTTTTATAAACATGATATTTTGACTTTCTCAAAGTAAAACTTTGCTCTAGTAAAGACATCATTAAGAGAATGAAAAGACAAGATACAGACTGAAATAAATATTTGCAAGTCACAGATCTAACAAAGAGATGGTATCTGTGTGTGTGTGTGTGTGTGTTTGTGTGTGTGTGTGTGTGTGTGTATAGATAGATAGATGATAGATAGACATATAGATATAAATGGGCCAAGGATCCAAAGAACACTTCATCACAGAAGATATACAGATGGTAAATAAGCATGTGAAAAGATGCTCAATATCATTAGCCATTGGGGAAATGCAAATAATAACCATAATGAGATCCCACTGCATACCTGTTAGAATGAGTAAACTTTAAAAACCTGACAAGCACTAAAAATATATAGAGCAATTAGTGAATATTGAAGACAGTAAAGCCACTCTGGAAAAACAGTTTGGCAGTTTATTATAAAGTTTAACACACACTTAACACATGATTCAGCAATACCACTCCTAGGTATTTAAGTTAGAAAAATTAAACCTGTGTTTAGTCAAAAACCTGTACATGAATGGTCATAGCAGCTTTACTCATAATTGCTATAAACTGGAAATAACCCAAATGTTCTTCAGTGGGTAAACAAATAAACCATTGTACATCCATATAATAGAAAACTACTCGGCAATATGATTGAATGGGCTATTGATACATATGAAAACACAGATGAATCTCAAAGGTGTTGAGTATAATAAGCCAGTCTTAAAAAGTTACCTACTACATGATTCCATTTATATGACATTTTGGTAAAGCTAAACTCTAGGGACAGAAAACAGAGCAGCAGTTGTCAGAGGTTAGTTGGGCGAGTTTGATTACAAAGAGGTAAGAATAGGGAATTTTGGAGGGTGATAGAAATGTGTATCCTTATTGTAGTAGTGGTTACATCAGTCAATACAGCTCTTAAAAACCTTAGAAATGTACACAAGGGTGTGTGTGTGTGTGTGTGTGTTACGATTATATTGGTTGTTACATGGGTATATATACCTGTCAAAACTCATCAAACACTTTAACTTGTTGAATCTTATTCTTTGTAAATTATGCCTCAATAAAGTTGAATTTTTTTTTTTTTTTCGGAGACTGAGTTTCGCTCTTGTTACCCAGTCTGGAGTGCAATGGCACGATCTCGGCTCACCGCAACCTCCGCCTCCTGGGTTCAGGCAATTCTCCTGCCTCAGCCTCCTGAGCAGCTGGGATTACAGGCACACGCCACCGTGCCCAGCTAATTTTTTATATTTTTAGTAGAGACGGGGTTTCACCATGTTGACCAGGATGGTCTCGATCTCTTTACCTCGTGATCCACCCGCCTTGGCCTCCCAAAGTGCTGGGATTACAGGCTTGAACCACCGCGCCCGGCTAAAGTTGAATTTTTTTAAAAAACAAAGCCTCCCACCATAATCGTACTCCTTACAAATAACTACTATTGACAGTTTAGTGTGTACTTGTCTAGAACATGTAAGCATGTCATATAAAATATTTTCCGGTTGTATAAACTGGATCATTGTACATAATATATTGTGCTTTAGATTGTTTTATTCATTTAGAGGGCTTGAACAGATGCATATACATATATATGTTTATGGATCTACTATATTTTAGTATTTATATTTAATACCATTTTGTAGACGTAACACCATTTACTTAACCAGTTCTACTGTTGAATATTTAGGTTGCTGCCAGTTTTTTTTGCTACTATTATCTGTACGACAGTAAACAGCCCTGTACATACATATTTTTATAAGTATAGATAGGATATATTTCTAAGAGTAGAGTAACTGGGTGACAGGGTATGTATGATTTGAATTTATATAGCTATTGACATATTGCCCTCTATAGAAGCAACTAGAAAGTTCAGAATGAGAAGTGGGTATGTCGTGCAGTTTCCCATCCCAAATCCTTGAACTTTTGTCTTTCATAGGATCATGCTGATATTGAGTGGAAGTTTGCAAGAACGAAGCTCTGGATGAGTTACTTTGATGAAGGTGGCACTTTGCCACCTCCTTTCAACATCATCCCAAGCCCCAAGTCATTTCTATACCTTGGTAACTGGTTCAACAACACCTTCTGTCCCAAAAGAGACCCTGATGGTAGACGGAGAAGGCGAAACTTGAGAAGCTTCACAGTAAGACTTTTAAAAATTATGAATCTTTTTTTTTTTTTTTTTTGAGACGGAGTCGGTCTGTCGCCCAGGCTGGAGTGCAATGCCACGGTCTCAGCTCACTGTCAACCTCTGCCACCCAGGTTCAAGCAATTCTCGTGCCCCAGCCTCCCCAATAGCTGGGATTACAGGCATCTGCCATCACGCCTGGCTAATTTTTGTTTTTGTTTTGAGACGGAGTCTTGCTCTGTCACCAGGCTGGAGTGCAGTGGTGCGATCTCGGCTCACTGCAACCTCTGCCTCCTGGTTCAAGTGATTCTCCTGCCTCAGCCTCCCAAGTAGCTGGGACTACAGGTGAGCACCATCATGCCTGGCTAATTTTTGTATTTTTAGTAGAGATGAGGTTTTGCCATGTTTGCCAGGCTGGTCTCAAACACCTGACCTCGCAATCCACCCACCTCGGCCTCCTAAAGTTCTGGGATTACAGGTGTGAGTCACCACGCCTGGCCAATTTTTTGTATTTTTAGTAGAGACGGGTTTTCACCATGTTGGCCAGGCTCTTGAACTCCTGACCTCAGGTGATCCGCCTGTCTTGGCCTCCCAAGTGCTGAGATTACAGGCATGAGCCACTGTGCCTGGCCAAAATTATGGATCTTTTTAAACAAAACTGTTTCCTCCCTTCTCTCCTTTGTGATACTATTTTCAACATCATAAAGTAATTCCAATATACATTGCTTTGGGGGTTTGTCAGGCAGGAGCTCCTGTATCATTCTCCAGTCCTAATATTTAGAAATAAATTCAGATGGGTGGCTAGGGTGCTGGGAGACCGCTGATGTAACATCTCTGTCTATTTTCAATTACAGGATCGCAATGCAGACAGTCTGATACAAAATCAACATTATCAGGTAAAACTTCCTCACAGGGATGAAGCACAATAGTTGTTGGTTGGTTCTGTGGAAGAGAAACAAACTCCACTCTGGCTGTTTCTGGACAGGATCCCATTTGACTGGGATAGGAGGCTTGAAAAGGCTATAATTTATCAAAGGCTGAAGTACCTCTTTCAAGTGGAATCACCTGCTTTATAATCTTGTTCATGGCCCTTATGCAATCCCTCAGCTTGATTAGCAACAAGTTGTCTTTTTTGAAATTACATAAAATAGAATTTGTGGTTGGTCAGTTAAATATATGAGTACCTACTGTACACCAAACACTATGCTAGATACTAGAAAAATGACTAGGAACAAAAAAGACGCAATGTTTCTGCTCTTATGAAATTTATTATCTAGCAGGGATAAAATAACAAGTCATTAAAATTATAGTTAACTCTTGATCAATAGAGGTTCGAACTGTGTAGATCGACTTATAGGCAGATTTTTTCAGCCAAGTGCAAATAAAAAATATAGTATTCATGGGATGTAAAATCCACATATACAAAAGGGCAGATTTTTTGTATCTGCAGGTCTTGCAAGATGACTGCAGGACTCAAGTATGCATGGATTTTGGTACATGGGGCAGGGGTCCTGGGACCAATCCCCAGAGTATACCAAGGTATTGTATTAAAATTAAGTGATTACAAGGATAAAAACTGCCATGAGGAAAAAGTACATAGGGCAATGGAAATATATAACTGTAGGCAACTAACCTCAATGAAGTAAAAGCTTATCTGAATGTCAGGAACTTAGATCTTGATAAATTACAACATGACTTTAATCAAAGAAATAGAGAAGCACTTCAGCATTTTGTTAAAAAAAAGTAATAAACCTAATAAACATTGGGGCACTCTTCTCACCAGCTAGAAACAGTCAAGCATACAAATATCACAACATCTCTTGAGTATTCCTTGCAAATCACAAATAAGAGACAACCATCTCTCACTGTCCTGATGAAAAAACCCAAAGTAGAAAAATGTTCTATAGCATTTGTAGGAAATCCATCCTTATTTTATAGGTCACTTCTCCTAACTTTGTTCCCCTTAGGCCATAACTAACAAAGAGAAACAGAAAATAAAGTATTCGTATGTAAACCTTCTCTCCCTACTCCCACCTCCAAATGTTATTTTTACAATAATAAATCTTAAGCAAGATTCATTGCCTTCATTTTCTGCTTAATAGCCTTCAACAATAACAAAAAAAAAGGATTTCTGCACATCTCAGTGACTTCCTCAAGTACACATAGTAGCAGAAGCAATAAATATAGCATTGGCTACTATTACCATTGGCCTTGAAATCAGACTGAAGTAGAATGAAAGTCTAATCTTGACACTTACTAGTTGTGTAACATTGGATGAGTAAGCCTCATTGAGCCTTGAATTCCTCATCTGTAACATTGAGATAGTAATAAACTTAACTACAGAGTTGTGAAAATTGAGTGATGAGTATGTATAATATGTATATGTGCATGTGTTTCATTGCAATAAGTTGTAGCTATCATCATCACCATCACTAATACAAATTGTAGTGATCATGTGTAGACCATTCCCCTGGAGGCTAACTGCAAAGAGGACATTCCTGTAAATGAGAAGTGTAGATTGACTATGCAAAAAATATCTTCACTATGTAATTAGTGGACATTAAAATCAGCAGACTTAGTGACTCTGAAGAAGACTCTCTTAATTTTATAAAAGGAGAAAAAATACCTCTCATTTTACTAGGAATGTTAATGTGTAATCTATCCTAAAGGAAAAGAATGTTAACTGTATGACCACGCAAGGATTATTCCACTCTTGTTATTTTATAAATGTGAATACATGTTTACCTTATGCTTGGGTAAAAGAATTTCCTTTAGGGTGAATTTGATTCTCCCACTGAATTCAGAGACGTAATAGTTGTTTAGCTAATGGACTTAACTCATTTTTTACAATAAAGGCTGGATCCTGTGAGGATTTTCTACTGCAAAGAAGGTCTAAGCACATTTTATATCCTATGTAAGTTTCTTATTTTACTGAAAGTCTGAGAAAAAACTGAATGCTTCATGGTTTGTTTTTTTTTAATTCCAGGAAGTTATCAGGAATTTAGTCAAAAGATATGTGGCTGCTATGATAAGAAATTCCAAACAAATGAGGGGCTAACAGAAGAAAATTTTAAGGTAATTTAATCATGAAGTGGTTTCTCATTTTACATATATAAGCATCATTTAATCTTCACAGTATGTGAGGTTTCTAGTGATAGAATTTCATCTGCTTACAATATAGCAAAGCCAATTACAATGCTTTCTCTCTTAGAATTGTCTCTCATCCAGTAGATGGAGAGATTTTAGCAATGTATGTCCCACCACAATCAGTGTTAGGAATGAAAGAAATCCTCTGTATGCATTCTTTTAATATTCTGGGTGTTTCTCAGTGTGGACATTGAATGCTTTAAATGATATGGTAAGGATGCATGGTGGTGAGGGAATGGGAAGCAAAGGGAAGATGCCTGGAGACTTAAAGATCTTCTTTACTTAAAAAATGTAAGACTAAAAAATCTGTTATTAAATCTAAGGTCTTAAGAAACTCTACCATTAAACATGAAAATTCTACTAGTGGCATTAGCCTAAAACAAATGTTTTCAACCAGGGGCAATTTTGTCCCAAGATCACATTTGGCACTGTCTGGAGATATTTTTGGTTGTCAGGCTGGCATCTGGACAGTAAAGACAAAGTTGCTACTAACCTTCCTAAAATGAATAGGACAGCTTCCCACAACAAGAATTATCCAGCCCAACATCAACAGTGCCGAGGTTGAGAAATCCTATCCTAGAACACAACTATATTTTCTAAAGCACATAGGAAGGCCATTATCCTTATTCATAGACATAATTCATCTACCAAAGGTCTGCTGTTTCAAGCACATAAGTGCTAAGTGCTCTGGTACAGTGGGGAGCAAGATCTAACCAACTCCTACTTCAAGGCATGACAAACAATAGTATAGGGTAATGAACAATTGTATATTCTGACAGGTTAAACACAGGACACTGTGGAAACACAGAGAGGAGGGACACTCACCTGAGACTTGGTAGTCAATATAGACTTTTCAAAGGAAGTGATGCTTAAGCCGAGGCTTGAAAGAGAAGCCAGCCAAATAAAACGGAGTTGGGGAGAAGAGTGTTCTAGACAGAGAGAACAGCACAGGCAATGGCCCAGAGGCAAGGGAGAATGTTGTCCAGTAGAGAGCCTGGGAAAAGGGTAGAAAGATGGAACTGGAGAAAGCAACCGGTACTAGGGCTTGAAAAACCTTGTAGTCCATGGTAAGGCATTTCTACTTTCTCCTAAAGTCAGTGACAGATTAGTAACAAGTTTTAAGCAGGGGAAGAACATAAACAGATTTCAGCTTGACTTTTAAAGGAACAACCCAGTATGTAAGCAGCCAGTTGGAGATAGAAGACGTTTCATGGAGACATGAACAAGTCTCAACCCAGTATGTGAGCAGCCAGTTGGAGATAGAAGACATTTCATGGAGACTTGAACAAGTCTTAAAACAGCAGTCTCATTACCTGACATTCCAGTTCGCTAGTTTCACTTCTTAGAGTCCTAAAGCTTTTTCTTCTTCAGTAGGAATATGCATATCTTTTATATGCAGACACCTGTAAGAGCCAGTGTCCTAATCAGATTTTTCTCGAATTTTGTGATTTTCTACTAGGCGAAAACCTGGAGCATTCCAAAAGTATCTAATGTGCCTACTTTGAAATAAAGATCAAGCTTCCTGACATAATGTGTCACTTCTCTTTTCCTAGGAATTAAAGCAAGACATCTCCAGCTTTCGATATGAAGTTCTTGACCTCTTGGGAAATAGAAAACACCCAAGGAGAAGCTTTTCCACTAGCAGCACTGAACTCTCTCAGAGAGATGATACTAATGATGGCAGTGGTGGGGCTCGGGCCAAATCCAAGAGTGTCTCTTTTAATTTAGGCTGCAAGAAAAAGGCTTGCCATGGGCCACCTCTCATCAGAACCATGCCAAGATCCAGTGGTGCCCAGGGAAAGTCAAAAGCTGAGTCATCAAGCAAACGCTCCTTCATGGGTCCTTCTCTCAAGAAACTGGGTCTCCTATTCTCCAAATTTAATGGTCATATGTCTGAATCCAGTTCAGAGCCAATGTACACAATTTCTGGTGGAATTGTTCAGCAGCACTGTATGTGGCAGGACATCAGATATTCTCAGATGGAGAAAGGGAAAGCAGAGGCCTGTGCTCAAAGTGAAATTAACCTCAGTGAGGTAGAATTAGGTGAAGTCCAGGGCGCTGCTCAGAGCAGTGAATGCCCTCTAGCCTGTTCCAGCTCTCTTCACTGTGCATCCAGCATCTGCTCCTCAAATTCTAAACTTTTAGACTCCTCAGAGGATGTATTTGAAACTTGGGGAGAGGCTTGTGACTTGCTCATGCACAAATGGGGTGATGGACAGGAAGAACAAGTTACAACTCGGCTCTAAGTCAAGTCCTTATCATCTGTTCTGGAACTCAACAGAAATTTGTCATTTCCTTGCTCTCAGAGGTGACACAAAATATGATTCCCTTACTGCCCCTGACCCCCAAAAAGGAGAGTGAAACTCCTATTTGCACCATCTTTTATAGCCACATTCTTCATTTTTATTATTTTCATTATTTTTTGCCTTTTTATACCTATAAATGCTAAGTCCATCTTACAACCAACTGAAAGGGTGTTGCACCTCATCAGCAGAGGTGCAGTTGGGTGCTTCACCCTTTTGCTTTGCTTTTATTACTTATGCTTCCTTGAAGACCCAGGTGCCACCTTGCTGTTGCTGCCACACAGATTCCTGACCATCCTCAGGATTTCATGCCATTTTCCCACAGAGCTGAGGGATGTGGTCAGCAGTCCCCACCAGCTGTCAGACAAGGCAAACTACCCTGCCTATCTTTGTTGCCATTCAGTGCTACACGCTGCCCATGCAGTTCAATGAACAGCATCAAAGGGAGGCTGAAGAGATTCCAAAGAATTGTCAGCTTGTAGTTTCTAGGTATAAGTGACTTGTTTCGTTCTTAAACACTACAACTTCTTATTGTGGGGGCTGTTGAGTTTTCTTGTTTCTTAAAGATGTGTTAGTTTCCTAATATGTGCCACTGAAATATTTACCCCATAGTATATGTTATATCTAATAAGTTAGGTGAAATCTTTCCTGTGTTTGTGTGTTTCAGTTATCTTACATTTTAAAATTTGATAGTATCAAAATTAGTATTTAGAATTTGTGCTGTTTTTCAAAAACTTCTACTACACTCTAACCAGTAGTCACTACATCTCATACATTGGCAAGAAAAATAGTTGTCACATTTGTCGGGTCCTAGTCTGTTGATAGTTTTAATTATCATTGCTATCAAAGCATTTCTAAGATAAAAGCCTGAATTTGAAATATTTTATCAGAAAAATGTCATATTGCTGAAGTGTCAAAATATGAGAAAAGAGCATCTTAATTTTAATTAATTGCTTTATAAAATGGCAATTTTAGGTCGAGATAACCTAATTCACATTGCAGTTTTAATATTCATTGGGGCAGTGGAATTGCATGTGTAAATTATGTTAAATATAAAACATAACAACCCTAGTGGATTCATGGAATCATAAACGTGATCCAAATTCTACTGTCTTCAAAGAAAGCTGTATAAATTCTTTTCCACAGCTTAAGAGTACCTCATCAGAATACAGTGGTTCAAGTTAAAAAATAAAGTCCATAATGCATATGATCATCATTTTAGACCTGATAACCACTCAGAACAAGCTGAGCAAGGACGGTTTTTACCAACATTAGCTCAAAGGTTTCCTCAATTTAGATTCTAACATATGACCTGAAAAAACTTTAGGTCTGAATCCTACAGATTAAATTAATAGTGTATAGCCCAGAAAAGTAAAATAGTTAGGTGTCACCCTGCTCCTTTAAATGTCAACACCAATAGGAATCCATTTAGATTAATGTATGTAATTTCTGGTAAAAGAGAAATGAGGAATTTTCAAACACTGCAAATATGCCTCCAAAGTTGCTTTTGATAGTGTGATTTCTGTTATTTGGATTTCCATCTCTTTCAATAGCCTAGAGAAGAGCCAAATGGAGGGGGAAGGGCCAGAAATAGGAGGAGGTTTTGAAGAATAAAGCCTCAGACCCAGGGAAAAGTGATCAAGTGAAAAAGCTGCATCAAGATTCATTTGGCAAGAGGTTGTCCCAAAATAATTCCTTGATCATATCTGAAGTGGGTTTTCACTCAAATCAATTTCTCCCCTGCTTCACTGAGACTGTCATAAATGTCCTTGACATTTTATAATAGGTTACTTTCCAGAAAGGTTTCTGAAGTTATAGATTCAGCTTTCCAAATTGTCAAATTCACTTTGAATAATAATAGAACATGGGCTATATTTCTAACTCATATTAACAGCACCAAAAGAAATAGCATATAACCCTATTTCATAAAAAGAAAAACACGTTTTTCTCAGAAATGTATATCACTTCTGAAAACTTATGTATAATTGTTCTAGCAGTGACCATATCAACTCATCAGAAAACAGGCTAGCCAGACATGGAACTGTATTCCAAAAGTCTTCTGTTATATTCTAAAGACATCCTATGTGTAAATCAATCTCTACTGCTGAAAGAACCAGTGTCATATGTCACAGGAGGACATTCCTTTTCAGATCTTCTCAGGGTTATCGTTGTTGTGACTTGGGCTTAAGACTTTACTAGCTATAGTGAAGCCTCCTTTAGGATAGGGGTTAAAGCTAAACAGCTGTTGCCCTAACTTCCATGTTGGTGACACCAACATTTTTATTAACTCTAATTCATTACAAAGTAGGAAAGGAAAGAGATTTTGTTCACCTCCTTACTCTCTTGATCAGATATCACAAAAGGTATTTCAAGTGAAAATGCTTAGGTATATCCTCTGACCCTAGAGGAATTATAAGCCAACTTGACAGTAAACTTAAAAACATAAAAAGTTAAGAACTAAAAGAGAATTTTATAAAAGATTTACTCTATTCCAACCTCATGTTTTACAAATAGAAAATAAGCCCAGAGAAAGACAATGACTTGCTCAAGGTTACAGAACTGGTCGGTAAACTGAAATCTTCTAGATTACAGAAGACATTTATTAGTAAGCATGTATGTTATATATAGGCAATGTGAAAATGAAGTGGCCATTACAGATACCCTTTTGTTGTGGTATCTGTAATGGCCACTTCATTTTCCCATTGTGAACTCCAGAATGCTGTGAACTCCAAAAACTTCAGACTATTTAAATGTAAAGTAAAAAAATGTACTGCAAAATTAAACACAAATAATACAAAAATCATTTACTACTTATCTAAAATATCCATATCATGGTCCACCTACATTACAGTTGGCTTATCACTTCCAGGAACCTTGGATTCATTTATTTGATCTCATAAAGTCTCCCTAATGAGGGTAAAAATTAAAAATAAAATGTGAATTGTATTAGAAAGTGACCATTGTTTAAGTATCTCCTCCACCTCTAGCTTTAAGTCCAATGAAATACAAAAATAGAGGAAAGTTTCTAAATTTAAAATCATTTTTGGAAGATGCCAAACTTTACAGGGATATATATGCTCCAAGTTATGCTTCTGTCTACTTAAATGGAGATATTAAAAAATTCCATTCTGCCTCCCAGAATAATTTTTTATTCCACTGTGCCTGCAATTTGATTTTTTTTTTGACTTTTTTTTTTTTTTTTTTTGAGACGGAGTTTCACTAGTTACCCAGGCTGGCTTGCAATGGCGCGATCTCGGCTCACAGCAACTTCTGCCTCCTGGGTTCAGGCAATTCGCCTGCCTCAGCCCCCTGAGTAGCTGGGATTACAGGCACGCGCCACCATGCCCAGCTAATTTTTTGTATTTTTAGTAGAGACGGGGTTTCACCATGTTGACCAGGATGGTCTCAATCTCTTGACCTCATGATCCACCCACCTCGGCCTCCCAAAGTGCTGGGATTACAGGCTTGAGCCACCGCGCCCGGCCTTTAATTTTTTTTAAAAAATGAAGGCCTCCATTTTTCAAATGACTTAATACCTTTTCCAGAAAAGAACTTTATAGTTATGGCAGTACAAACCTCCTCTGAAAACTTCAGTGGGAACTTCAGAGGTAAATATGAGGCCATACCTTAGCCTGAAAATACAAATAACCATTGGCATTCATGTTGCATCGTGGGTGAAACTCGAGTGATGTTTTGACTGATAGTTTTAGTGGCCCAGACTTTGGTTTGTGAAATCATCAGGTAAAGAGTACTTGAAGATAGGCAGCAAATCCTTTGTTTAAATAGCTAAAAAAAAAAGTGAGTTGTGCATGGTGGCTCACTCCTATAATCCCCAGCACTTTTGGAGGCCGAAGTGGGCAGTTCATTTGAGTCCAGGAGTTTGAGATCAGTTTGGCCAACATGGTGAAACCTGTCTCTACTAAAAATACAAAAATTAGCTGGGCATGGTGGTGCACGCCGGTAGTCTCAGCTACTCGGGAGGCTGAGGCATGAGAATCGCTTGAAACCTGGGAGGCGGAGGTTGCAGTGAGCTGAGATTATGCCACTGTACTCCAGCCAGAGCAAGACTCTGTCTCAAAAATAAATAAAAATAAAGGTACCTAAGAAAAATTTAGCATATTTTATTGGTAATCAAGTTTTCAAAAGATTGCTCATATAGACGTAGTCAATGCAAATTGATCCAAGTGTTCAGATCATTTAAATAACCTCTTCATACCTACTTCCCAGATTTCCCTACCTTCAACCCCTGCAACTTTGCCTCAAAACTGAATATTTTAGATTATTTGGTTTGCTTTATCTAGATAATTGCTCCAAATAGCCAACTTGCTGGTGTAGAACTCACTAGTGGGAACTGAGTACCCCAATAAAAGTGAGCTTTACTTTAGCACAGAAAAACATCGTTGCCGTTATATTTCCAATAAACCTTCCAGTAACTTTTTTCCAACAGATGTCAGTTTGGGCTTGCTCTGCCTTCTGGGGTATGTCTGTAAAAGTGAGAACATGTCTGTGTATATACATACACACATATAACAAAACTTAATAGCATTTAATTGTTCTGCCTTTGGCTCTTTATCCCTTTAGGTAATTACTAGATCATTTTAAAGAGAGGGAAGCAGGAATAACTTTTCAATGGAGACATTTCCTGAGGTGTGAGGAACTGCCAAAATGAACTGCCATGATAGCATCTTCTGTAGCACTTTTATATTGAGAGCTATCAAGATCTGAGGTTCCTAGTTTTGTTAAAAAACGCATTTAGGTCAGAATAAATTAACTGGAAAATTTTTAAATACATACTTTTGGCAAAATAAAGTCTGCATATTTCAGATTTATTGTATACCTGAGATTTGGTACATACTTGGAAGTGTTAATACTCATTCATATGCTGGTATGTAGCCTAGAATTTTCATCTATGGCATGGTGATCCAGAGGAGGTGTTAGTGGGTGCCTTGTGAGAGCTTTACTTTTAAAAAATGGAATGTTTAAGAAACAGAGTTAACTACTGGAATGATAAAGGCAGCAAGTCAAGGTGCTCTAGCATCTTTAGGCTCAGTATTTGTGTTATCCCCAACTTGAGTGGATTTGTATCTGGTACTTGATTATTGAATCTGAGTTGTGTTCATTCTTTTTCTAAAGATATACCATCAATGTTTGTTGTACCTAAGAGACATATACATATTAAGAATTATAATACTTAAATATAAAACTAAGTAGAATGCCCTTATGCCAAAAAGCTAGTTTTCTTATATGATGTGAAAAGCTGTGAATGCTCTAGAGGCTTCCTGTTACTACACAAATAAAGGCAAACAATTTCTGTAGGAACATAAACAGCCCACAACTTTTGATCATTGTAATCAACTGTTAAACACCCATGAAAGTAGCATGTATCTGTCCTACTCTTCTCCCCCTCAAAAAACTTTCTTTATAACTCTAAGTGACTTGATAGAATCAAAAAAGACTAACTGAGGAAGTAGGTAAGAATGGCTGGCAACGTGAAGGTCATTTTCACCATTTTTCAGCATATTTGCCCTTTGACTTTAGCAGGTTTGGGGGCATCTTAACATCCCAGGAGTTTACACACATGCACACAAAAGGCACTGTTCTCAGTAGCACTTGATCGAATAGGTGGAAATGTGCCTTTTATTTAAACCTAAGGTAGCCAGCCACTTGAAAGTGCAATTAAGCTGAGTTTGGCCATTTTATATTTTTTCCCAGAAGTTCAATATATTCATTCCCAAAATACTCATTGCCACCAACTGCCTTCCAACCTAAGAACCCTCTGTACAGTCCTCCAGTCTTACACAATTCTTAAAGCTGACCCTTGTAAGGAATAAAGGAGGCTTTGGATTTTTTATGGGATTGGGAAACTTAGATGGTGATAGTGTAGTAAAGAGATGGTTGGAAAAGCTTTTGAAGTAAGGACGAGTGAGGATATGTACTTTAAAACATGGGGCTAAACCACCAAATTGTCAATTTTTTGGATGACCAAATTGAGATGAGTCATCTGATTTTAAAATGTAATTTAAAATGGTTAATTAAAACATTAACACCACCATTTCTCCTTTAATAAAATTCAAAAACTGCAACAATATATGAAAACAGAACCACTTCCAAATCATTTTTCAAATTTTAGGTCATATTTGGGTTGAATTTCAGATATTAACAAGTTCTCAACCTTGGGATCACTATAAATATAAGTTCAACACACTAAACTCATAGTGCAGTTTCACAAATGGGCTTTCATAAATATGTACATGTTAGGCAATTATTGGAAAGATCACTTTCTTCAAATTTCATCTAAGAAATAAAGTGCGTTTATGAAAACAGCATCAAAGAGAAATGAAAGCTAAAATTAAGGAAGGGTACTATGGCAAAAAGCCAGATTATATACTTGCTATCATCTTTTAGCCTTATAAATTTGAAATAAACATAAAATAGGATAATGACTGATATTTTCATAAACATACCAGAACTTATGCACTCAAATGAATATGGTCCTTTAAAGTAGTCACCTTAAAAAGTCACACCCATATTCTAATGATGCTGCCATTGCTCAACCGACTTTGTACTTCTGCTTTTGAAATGATTTTCAAAGTCCACAATATAATCTCTGAATATCCTCAATGGTAGAAAATCATGATCCTCTAATATTTAATTTTTAGAAATTTAGAAATGGTCAAAAGTAATTTTAGATCCACATTTGGTAAAAGATGGGGTGGTCAAGCTGAGTACCACTTTCTCTAGTTAAAAAAATTTTTTTTCAAGTGCTATTACACAATAGGCACCTTGATAGACACAATTATAAAATAATGAGACTGTCTCTTGTGGGATTTGTAAAGTGACCTGGAATTGCTCTTAGGAATCAAGTTTTTTCCCCTAATTAGCTTTATTGAGAAATAATTTATGCACAATTGCCAGCATCCATTTAAAGTGTACAAATTGGTGAGTTTTCAGAGTTGTATATGTCCCTGGAAGCACCAGCCAAAATCAAGATATAGAATATCGCCATCACCCTCTCAAGAATCCTTGTTCCTCTTTATACCCTGGAATCTAGTTTCGAATAGGCTTGGAACAGTGGCAGCCTCACAAGAATAAGCACATAGCCTCCAGAAAAGAACACTTTAAAGGGCAATATATTTAGATACAGAACCTTCAATGATTTGGGAACAACCATAATGATTAACTCTTGAAACATTTGTGTTTAAATAGTAAAATACATTGGGTTCCAATGGCTTATGCTGTAAATAAACTCATAATTGACACCTCAAACTTATTTGATCCTTAGGAAATTAAACTGTATAGCACAGAGGCTCTGATGACTAGGCGATTAACAGGGAGGGAGACAATAAAGAAAAACCACCAGCCTCCATAGAAAATGGAGGGGAAGATTTTGGACTCATAAGAAACCATGGTGGCAGAAGCAATGGAAAGAGTCTCTAATGGCAAAATGGAAGCCAATTAGCTGAATGTGTTCAGGTCATTTGAAAATCACATATTCAGATTACGTATTCCCTGTATAAGATCTAGTCACAGTATTTAAAGTTTAGCCTCATCATGTTGTGGTCACACCTTGTAGGACTTCCTTGTAAAGCAGATTAAGCAATAAGTTGAAATACCCAAAGCAAAGTAACCTGTAATCCAGTAAGGAGTGATAACTGTGCTTAACATACTTGGGCAGGAAAAGCAGCCAGAATTCTCAAGTGCCTTAACAGGATAATTGGAACCAATGGCATTAAAATGAATATTGTGTGAGCACATGAGAAGTCCTCTAAACCCAAAGGGTTAACACATTAGTCTATGGTTTAATGTAAAAGGAAATTCAATTCAATAAATTAACTTTAACTTTTCAAATTACTACTTTATCAAAATAAAACTGTATCTTATTTCAACAGTAAAGACACAGACTTTACCAGGAAACTTCAGATATGGATAAACACATCCTTATCAAGCAAAGACATTTTAGTTTTTGTTTCTTATAACATAGGAACGCACACCAGAAGTACTGTTCAGCAGAACAATATTAAACTCTTCACAGGATTCTATTTATTCCAGATTTCTCAAACACAGGGTTGAAATTAGGGCTGGGAGTTTCTTTCTACTCAAACAATGAATGCAGTCTGCTGCTACAAGCTAACATTTGGCAGTAGGAAAGAGAAAACTAGAAAATACAAGCTATGTGTAATTCACCTTCTAAGCCTAGTTGGCGGCCCCAACCACATATCACCGTAGAGAAAGGGTGTCAAATTTAAGTTTGAAATGATAAATCTCGAGCAAAATCATGAAAAGGAAAAATTCCAAATTTGTCTGTGTAAATGGCATTGGCTTTGAAGACTATTTTAGAAGTGCAAATCTCTTTAAATAACTATCACTTTTATTTAAACACTTTCTGTAAGAAGTGCATAGTGTCAATCTTAACATATTAAAAAGAATCTTGTACAATAAAATCATTTTGTGTATTTTTAGCTTCAGTACCAACAAAATAAAGTATTTACTTTTTTCCCCTAAAATGTATGGCAACTCAAATTTGTTATGTTCCTCCCTTTTTTAGTGTAATCATTTGTAGCCACCAATTATTAACATTTACGAACAACAGATTCCACAATGCAATATGCCTAGCAGAAACACTAAGCAGACCTCTAGAGTCCAACATATTTTGAAAAGTATATGAGAATAAATAACATTCTAATTTTTATGTTTTTCATTAAACAAAGCTGATTAGTATTTAACAATTTAATAATAATTTATAAGAACTATGAGATGATGAAGTAAAGAGACCAATAGCTTCAAAGCTATACCTTACAATATCAAAAACCATAGAAGCCTCGATCCTGGAAATTAATAATTCTTCATTGAGTACTTAAAGTATGATACATATTGCAAAGAACAGTTGGAATCTGTGAGCCAGCAAGAAGACATATAAACGGAGGTTAAGCTGGTCATGATAAACCAGCGTAATCTGAGTACATTTGAGCAATAATTTCAGAATCAGGTGACATTTCTTCAGATTTTTTTGTAGTCACAAGACTTTTCAGCAACTAGCTTTCCACTAATTCAGATTATAGAAGTTTGATGGTCTTATTTTACTGATTAACTTTTACACCAGCAGGGCACTGGTTAGCATATCGGACAGAACAGCTTAACTTTCTGCTAAATAACTCACCTGCAAGTCCTGGCCTAATTATTTTAAACATAAATGATAACATTTACACACTGGCTAGATAATTAAAATAAGAAGTATATTTGACAAAGATTTGCAACCAGCATATACAAAGATCTCCTATAATGCAATAACACAAATTATTTGAACACACTTCACAAAGATACACAAATGAACAAGCACATAAAAATGCTTGATACGGAAAAACAATCAGGGAAATGTAAATTAGATACCACTTACTACACCTCTGCCAGGATGACTAAAATTAAAATACTGACACCACCATAGGCTGATGGTAATGAGAAACTGGAACTGTCATACATTATTGATGGGAGTTTAAAATGGTACAATCACTTGAGAAAAATATCCTGCAGTTTCTTATAAAAAAAACTAAACATACACCTCACCTATGACACTATTCTATTCCAAGAGAAATGAAAACATGTGCTCACAAAAAGACAGAAAAATATCCATAGAAGATTTATAATATTAAAAAAAACTGGAAGTGGCCCAGGTGTCCATCAAAAAGATAAACTATGGCATATTCATATAATGAATAATATTCAGCAATAAATTTTTGACATACACAACATAGATAAATCCCAAATACATTACGCTGAAAGAAGCCTTACACAAGAGAGCATATTTCATTTATGCACAGTTAGAAAAACAGAAAACTAATCTATGATATGTGAGAAATCAGAACCAAGAATGGTTACCTAGGGGAATGGGGATAGAAGAATTTGGGAAGAAGCATGAAGAGATTTTCTGGGGGTGATGTTATCTTGATCAGGCCTTTGGTTTCACAAGTATGTGATTTATCAAAACTCACTGCATCCAACACTTAAGATTGGTGCATTTCACTGCATGTAAACTTTACCTCAAAAGAAAAAAAATCTTAAAAACTGAACTCTAGTTAACAATCTGCATGAAATGTTTACATGTAAACGGTACTTAGGTTTCCAATTTTCTTTGAAATGCATCGAAAATAAGGACTTACAGATGGATATTCAAAAAGGTAAGTATAGGAAAATGTTAAGAACAGAACCTAGATGGTAAATATATGGATGTTAACAATTCCTTCAAATTCTGTGTTTAAAAGATTTTTATAATAAAAGGTTGGAAAAAATAAGCAGTGAGTACAGGAAAAGAAGTAAATTAACAAAACCCCATGCCATGTTTCAAAATAGCCAGGAAGGGAAAAACTTCTTGTGTAGTTGAAGCTATTTTAGCAGAGCTAAAAGGAATCAAAATCAAAACAAAGTTCAACTGCTAAAACAAGCAAAACAACTGAATATAAAATAGCTTTTTATTAAGGAAAAATGTTCTCTTTGATGTAGCTAATATACCAGGGCAAGGAAATAAAACATTAGTTTAAGTCTAGTACTAGGGTAGAATTTTTTCTACAATTCTGTAAACAATTTGAAAAACCTGTATTAGTTTGGAAAGAGCCAAAAGTTCTGCAAGAAAGATTTGCTAATTATGTGACGGGACTGACCATCTATATAGCACTAATAAATCAATACTACAAACCAATATTTGGCTAGAATAGATCTTAACATTTTTGTTCACTGACTGGTCTGAATTTGTAAGAACTGATTCAGTTTAACCTCAATATTGTTTGTAATGACCCCACCCCCTTCACAAAAGGTCTACTCAGTGACAAGAAATACCTACCGGGAAAAAACTAAACAAACAGCAGTTCAATAGTCAGATTTTCTTGTTCCCAAGATCCCCCCACCCCCAGCGGCCAAAGAAAAAAAGTAAACTCAAAAGTGGTGGTGATTATTGGGAAAACAATTACTGAAACAGTAAAACCTGAATTGGTTCACTTACCTCAATTAGTTTCAACTACAAATAAATGTCATGTGTTTAACAAAATTGGTTTTATGTGTAGCAAGTGAATATTAAGAATTACAGAATTTCAAGAACCCATTTTTTATAACTTTCCCCAAAACTCAGATGTTCTAAGGTATCTATGAACCTATGTGACAGCCTCTCTACAACCTTATACATTTAATACTTTTCAGGATTCAAGACAACATTTTAAAAAACCCAAACTCATACTAATTTCATAAGCAAACATCTCCTCTCCAGATGGCAGGTTACTAAGGCAGTTTTTTATTAAAAATTTGAAACAAAATGGCATAATAAACCCAAGTTTCAATGATAATTATTCAACAACACACAGCTAATGTTCTTTCATATATAATACTCATCCTGAAATTATTTTGAAGCACTTCCCATATTTATCACTCTAAAGCAGTTTTAGTCACAGAGGTCATTACCTAAGCTACATCTCTCACACACAGGCACCTTCCATGTCCCTGAAATGTATTTTAGGGAAAAATGCCATTGGACGTTGAGGTAGGAGAGAAGACAAGTGTTCTAAATTAAGTTGCTCCTATTGAAACTAAACATTCCAGTTAGGATGGAGGGAAACAAGAGGTTGTCTCCTGCTATATAGGTTGAGTATCCCTTATCAGAAATGTTGGGTTCCAGAAGTGTTTGGAATTTCAAATTTTTTCGGATTTTAGAATATTTGCATTATATTTACTGGTTGAGCATCCCTAATTCAAAATTCCAAATTGCCACAAAGAGCATTTTCTTTGAGCAGCAAGTCAGTGCTCAAAAAGGTTCAGATTTTGGAGGATTTCAGATTTTCAGATTAGGGATGCTCAGCCTGTATTAGTTCTCTTGAATTCTTATATAAATTACATAAATTCTTCATTATAAATGTAAATATAAAATGCTTTAAAGAGGTTTCATATAAAATGAACTAAATTTGTCCCAGATTTACAAAAGTCTACATTAAGTCTATGCTCCACCCTCCCCACTAGACTATATCATTATCTATGGAGATCTGCCTAAGTTCTGAATGTCTGTTGCTCACATAAGAAAAAAAAACCATGATTTGTTTACTTTTTTAAATCCAAAGCTAATTGAAAGGTTAGCCTTGATTATAAGCTTTAAGGAAATGAAAGCTGTTTTAAATTCATCAGTCTTAAATTTCAACAGTAAAACCAACTCAATGTTTTCATCTGCTCTTAATCAAGACAGAAAACCACAATCAGTTTTGAGAATAAATATATAAAGCATAAAAATGAATTTAATTATTTTTCCTGGCTATGAGAAATTATCCAGCTTTTTACCTTTAGCGTAACCAGATTTATGTCAGGAAGGGGCTGGAAGGGTCCCAAACAAACTAGTGTCTATATATTTCTTTTCCCTAACAATTCTAAATGGATGAAATTTGGTTAAAAGCAGAGAAAAGACAGGATACCTTTTGTAACAAGAGCAACTTAAGAGGTAATCCGTAAAAAGGAGAAATCTACCACTATGTTTATCCTATATGGTGATTAAACATGTTAAGTATTAGGGTTTTGTTTTTCATCACAAGAAAAACCACTTCCTTTTTACCTAGGAACTGCCTCCAAAAACAATTGCAGACTGCTGCAGCAGCACAGGCTACCCTCACCTCTCCCCCAACAATAGGAGAGCCAGGACTGGCTCCTTGATTATTTCTTAGGGAAGACTGATTGTAATACATAAACAAAGAGAACTTGCATGATTTAAGCAGACCATAAATACAGACATCAATTGATAATTAGTTCAATCTAGTACACACATTGCTTTCAGGTTACGTTAATACCAATCATGATTAAATTTCATTAACTGGTAACAGATCGCAAGGCAAGGCAGTATCATTTAAGTTTGAAATAAAAACCAATCAACTAGAAATCTAAGGCAGATGTGCTTGTCCCAAAACTCACCAAACAAACCCATATTCTCAAGACTACAACTTTCTAAAAACACCCCGTAGAAGCTAGTGAACCACTGACTGCTGAAGATAGAGGACAATCACTTGCTGTGAAATCTGTGTACCTCAGAAATTTTAGCACATTAAAAAAATGTTGGGAAAGGGCTGTTCCATAAGCTTGACTAAAACAAACTTTTATGCAAAACACAATTTGTAGGCTGCACAAATTGAGAACCCAGGAGGTTAGCAGAGAAGTTAAAACACTAATACATACAGTTAGTTTGTTGTAAAACATTAGTGCACTGCCGTTCATCTCAAGTTGTCAAGACGCTAACTTGTAGTGTAAGACCTTCTTAAAATCAAGGATAAAAAAACCAAATCCAATCAGTATTGTCTATTCTGAAGCAGAACCGTTTGGTATACTGGCTTATTTAGAACTCACTAATATTAATCATCTTGAGAACAGTACATTGAAGATATATCTTCTTTGCAATGGATTCCACTCCAGTACCTTCAACTGTTCAAGCACTTCAAGCCCTGATGTCTCAAATTTTTCTTTTTCATCAGGGTGTAGCCATAGGGTGAAAGGAGAGACTGATTCACAAACATGAATAACCTTTTAAGAAAGTGATATAAATAGATTTTGTGGCAACCAATTTTATTTGAAAAATAAAAAGAGGCTTTATGGAATTTAATAGTTTAGATCTACAAATCTAAGTTCATATCACTTTACAGGTGAGGAAACTAAGAATCAGAAAAGTAAGTGACCTACCTATCCCAGCCCAGCTAGTAAGTCAGAGCCTGAGTTCTAATTTTTATGCTTCTTCAGCCAAACAGTACTGGAAATTGAAAGCTTGGATTATTCTTTGTTCAAAATTTACTATGCTATATACATATTTTTAAATACTAGAGATATATTATATTTTGAAATAATTACTATCATGGTTGCCAAATGAATTTTCCAATTTTATCTTTATTATTATACTTTAAGTTCTGAGATACACATGCAGAACGTGCAGATTACATAGGTATATAGGTGCCATGGTGGTTTGCTGCACCCATCAACCTGTTATCTACATTAGGTATTTCTTCTAATGCTATCCTTCCCCATGCCCCCCACCACTTGACAGGCCCTGTTGTATGATGCTCCCCTCCCTGTCTCCATGTGTTCTCATTGTTCAACTCCTACTTATGAGTGAGAACATGCAGTGTTTGATTTTCTGTTCTTCTGTGAGTTTGCTGAGAATGATGGTTCCCAGATTCATCCATATTGCTGCAAAGGACATGAACTCATTCTTTTAAATAGCTGTTTGTTAGGTGACATAGAGCAAAGTATTCATGATGATTTGCCCCTCAGAGGAGAATTAATCAATACAGACCATCTTGTGGTCTTCAGATAGATTAAAGGGAGAAGGCAAAAAAGGATGATGAAATGTGTCTCACAGCAAGCCAAAGAGAAGCCAGGCCTTCAGAGCCTTCAGAGACACAAGGTTAAGTCTAAAAACAAAAATGGTAAGATGTGACTAAAAAAAAAAAATACCCTCGAATGAAGGCCTCAGCAGCAAGTGTTTCTCTGAACTTCTCCTGCCCTCCTGTCCTGTCTCTTAGTCTCCTCCTTCCCCAAAGCTAGCCATAGAAACCAGAACTCCTCTTCCCCAAGGTGGGTCATAGAAACCAGAACCCCTTTTTCCTGAATGCCAGCCATAAAACCTAAAAATATTACTCTAGCTTTTCTAAAACCTAAAAATATTATTCTACCTTTCTATGTAAAAACTGGCCATAAAAAATTATCTGAACTACCTGGTTTGATTGTCAGAAGATGCCCCCACCCCATTCCAAAGAGGATCCTGTCCCACACCCAGAAGGGAGGAATGTGTGCTCAGAGAGGCCAAGAATATGAACAAGCCTTGTTGGGTTTCTCCTACTGAAGTCCATTAGCAGATCATACCCTTTTTATCCAATCATATTTCTATATGGCTGTTTATACTTTGTTGAACCTAAGCATAACAATGGACAATTTCCCCTGTACTTTGGGTCTTCATTCTGAAGGTTCCCGTGTACACATTAATAAAATTTGTATGCCCTTTCTCTTATCTGCCTTTTGTGAGCTGAGTTTTCAGTGAACCTTTAGAGGGCAAAGGGGAAGTTTTTCCTTGGCCCCTATAACAACTATTGGAAGTATAGGATAATGAGAAAGTCTAAAGTTCCATAAGAGGGTTATAGATGCTTTAAAACACACACACACGCACACCCCATAAAAGGAACATTCTCCAGAGAAAAGACATAGATATGGTAGTACGCACCATAAAAGGAACATTCTCCGAAGAAAAGACATAGATATGGTAGTATGCACTGCAATGACTCGAAATTAAATAACATCTCAAGTGACCCTGCAATTACTCCCCACCAGCTCATGCTAAAAATTCATTCTTTTGCAACCAGAATGCCAGAGACAAAACATGTTGAAACAATCAAATGTTGGTACTCTTTGCTGCCATGAAAACGCAAAAAGAAAAAAATCCCACTCGTTTTGGCAATTTTAAATGCTAGTTTTTATTTACTACTAACTGCAAAAGACACCAATACTGTACAGAACACTTAACATAAATCCGGTATTAAACAATAGCGTATGGGATAAATCTAAAGCAGAGCACTATGTGCCTTCAAAACTGATACCACAGAATGCATCTTGGTTCAGACAATTCTCAAGAAACCTGAAGAGCTCTTTGAGTTATCCCGAAGCAAAGGCTCTTGGTTTTACTTTCTAGAAAAAAGTAGAAGTTATTCCAATTCTGCATGGTTTAACATGATGTGATTTCTGAACCAAGGAAATACTTTATATGATTTATTCACTTATCAATTGGTACCATCAGCTAATATAAAGTTGACAAATGGCTGACAGAAAAACAGCTGAATACAATGAAGTATGGTCAATATGGGGCCAGTTGTACATCTACCTCAATTTCCCTAGTCACAGCCCAAAATAATATCCTTTTAAAGTACTATTTTAAATCAAAAGATAAAATAATTTTAAAGACAAATATAATAGTAAACACTCTAACCACCTACATCATTTAACCACTAACACAAAATACTTTTTAAAAACCAAAACAGCAAAAAAAAAAAAAAAAAGGCAGTGCAAGAATACTTCATACTGCTGAATCTTATGTACCCTGAGGTATATAATGAGAATTTGGGGGAGATGGAGCAATATGGCCAATTTGCCCAGGATTTATAGCACCATGAATTTGAGAACCACCATATACTGCACCAACTGGATGCCAGGGGGGAACACAGGAATAATCTGGCACAACCGGAAGGCACGAGTCAAAACCTGGCAAAGGTGGCTGTCCATAGGGATCTGCCATTACTGCATAATAGACTGCTCCATGAGGGACAGATGTAGGATCAGCATTCGGAAAAGTACCTGAAAGAATGTATACAGTATACTTTATATACAAAAATTCACCAAAACAGAACCCTATGCAACATAAATGGATGTTCTCACAAGTGAAAATAAACTTAATATTAACTATAAGAAAGATCACAGCAACTGTAGCAGGGGCACTTTAAATACAAATAATGACTAAAACAGGCTACTGAAAGACAATATGAAAATTTCCAAATTAAAACATGTGAAATCTGTGTGTCAAATCTATTCAACCTACAGACAACTATCTTTCTGGGATGATTTAGGTACCAACAAGCAAAACACAAAAATACTCTCTAGAGTCTGAGTCCTTCTAATTAATTAAGCTCTTATAAGAGGTCACATTTGAGTCACCCAACAGTTTTGCAGTACAGTACACCATCTGAATAACCATTTAGCAATGAAAAATTCAGATGTCTAGACAGTCTGGTCTATACTTGAATGTATAGTTTTGAAGAGCAACTTAAAAGTGTCATCTCCTGAATGTCATTAAGATCATATTTTAATTTCATAGCACTTTTGCCACAAGTCAGTTTCAGTGGAAATAAAGGCTGTTTTGATCTTCCTATAATGACTATACACATTAGACAAAAGAAAATCTTTCATTATTAGGCTTAGATTAACTATGTGAAAATAAGACTGCCACTGCCTCAGAGTTTAAATTTAAAAATAGCTCTATAAAAGGTATACTGCACAAAATTCAAAAAAGTTTGAAACTGTAATATGCTTTAAAAAGGGAAAAGAAGAGAGAAAAGAAATTAGTATTCCTAATATGCACCAGGTAACAGTACACTTATACATAAGGTCTCAATTAGTTCTTATAATAACCCTAGCAAATCTGGTATTTCCCATTTTACAGAAAATCAGACTTAAGGAGGGGGTCAAGTAACTTAGTCAAGATCACAACTATCAAGTAGTAGTGCTGGAATGTAAAACAGATTTGGTTAGGTTAGAGTTCCCATTGCTCCTTCTACCCCCCCTACCCGGTAATTCTTTCTGAAAAGGCCAATCCAAAGATCCTATTCAAAATCCCCCAAAATTTGTCCCCATCTGTATTATACTGTGAACTTACAGAACTCAACGCTCTAGAAGAGTGGCTCTCAAACTTTTTGGTCTCAGGATCCCTTTACACTCTTAAAACTTGAGAACTCCTAATAGCTTTCGTTTATGTTAGTTACAGGTACAGATATTTACCATATTAGGAATTAAAATGAGAAAGTTAAAAATAGTAAATCATGTGAAATAAGTCTATTACATCTTAACACAAATAATTTATAAAAAATAAGTTTATTTTCCAAAATGCAAAAAAATTTGAGTGTCATTGTTTTATACTTCTGCAAATTTCTAATGTATAGCTTAATAAAAGAGTTGGATTCTCATATATGCTTCTGTATTTATTATATGCTGCTTGGTTGAAATATATGAAAAAAATATGGCCTCATACAAATGTGTAGCTGGAAAAGTGAGTATTTTATGTAATTTTATTTAATTTTTTGAGATGGAGTTCTGCTCTTGTTGCCCTGGCTGGAGTGCAATGGCACGATCTCAGCTCACTGCAACCTCCACCTCTGGGGTTCAAGTGATTCTCCTGCCTCAGCCTCCCTAGTAGCTGGGATTACAGGTGCCTACCATCATGCCCAGCTAATTTTTTTGTATTTTTAATAGAGATGTGGTTTCACTATGCTGGCCAGGCTGGTCTCGAACTCCTGATCTCAAGCAATCCACCAGCCTCAGCCTCCCAAAGTGCTGGGATTACAGGTGTGAGCCACTGCGTCCAGCTCAGTGAAATATTTTAATACCTAGCCTTTTCAGATAATTGTAGATATTCTTTGATGCTACACCCGAACTACATAAGTGATAGTTTCTCAAAGGTCACTGGCAATATGGATTTTTCATGCTTTGTTACATTAAAATCCACTGTTTCATTTTGCACTTGGAAAGATCTATTACAAAATCACACTTTGGTTATATCATGCATTCGTAATTGGGAAACTATTACTTTGCTGACTTACGCAGTTCTTCCAAATGTTGACATATTTCCTCATACAACTTAAGAAACTACATTCAGCTCTACCGTATTTTAGGAGTTTTAATTGGTGGGAAAGTGTCAAGCTTATGGTGGAAGATACACGTTTTCCAAAATTCTAATTTTGATTTGAAAGCTAAAATTTTGTTTGAAAACAAGTATTACTTGTTTATCCTAAAGTGATGGGCTCACTTTGTTCATTTAAGAATATGCCGGCCAGATCAACTAAGTGTGAATAACAATAGTTTGTCTCTCTCTCTTTCAAGTCAGCAATAAAGACTCATAATAGCACAAGTCTTTTTCCTTACGTTAATCATTATACTTCATTTAGTATGCAGAAGTGTTTTATAAATAGTTCCATTTTGTCACGAAGAATATTAAACACAACTATTCAAGAACAAAAATTGAGTAAAATTAAGAATGGCTTTGATTAAACAGAAAAAATAAAACTGGCATTTTTGTACATCGGTGTGTGGCAGTGAGGAAAACCTGATTACTGCAAAGTCTGGGGGCAGTGCCAATTTGTGCTTAGATGCCAGCAGTTTTACCCACCACTAATTTCTATACCCTCATGCAAGCCAGTGAAAGGAACAAATAAAATTTTTGAATTATTGTGAACACTTCTGGCCTCATGAATCCCTTGAAAGAGTCTTAGGGGCCACAAGAGGTCCACGTATCATGCTTTGAGAATCATTGGTGTAGTATATGGACCTGATGAAACATATGAAAGCTATTATTAAATTACACACAATAAAATCCAACTGTCTTTCTTGGTGGCAATCTCACTACATACTCACCATTTGCTGATGCTTCCGCCTGTGTGCCATTTTCTCTCCTCACCTCACTGTACAATTGAGGGACAGTTTGATCTACCAGAGGAGGTGGCTCAGTATAGACTGGATAATTCTCTGCATGAAGCTGCTGCTGCATCTGTGGCACGATGACCATGGAGTGCCAGTAGTTGTGATAATAGCACTTGAGCAAGAAAGGGCAAAAAAGAAACAAGAAACTACTTTTCTCTATTCGTAATGTAATACTGTTTCCCACAAACAAACAAACAAAAAAAAGAATTGAGCCATGATTTTCAGAGGCAGCAATGACTTTTTTGACCTAAAAACTTGACACATCGTCTGTTCTCTATTAGAACTTTATGACCTTTTGCAGCATTTGTATCTCAAAGAATTCTTTCAGGAAAGCATCTAAAAGACCTGTGTAAAAAGATGCCTTTTTAAAAATATATATATATATTTGATTGCACTTAGGTGTCTCTTACAGTATTTTTAAACGCAAAAAACACCGCACACAGTATTTAACAACAGGGAACTGGATAAATTGTATATCTGTGATGAAATACTATACAGGCAACAAAAATCATGCTGTCAAATATTTTTTAAATGTTTGTAGTTAAAAAATGAAAAAAAATTATCACAGAGGTGATTTTAGTTTTCTTTATGCCACAGTATTTTCAAAATGACTACAATAGACACTATGATTTCTAATACGAAAAATAAAATATTCAGCATCTCCTGGTATTCCATAATGTAAAAGGCAGGAGAATATTTTTAAATGCCTCGGTGGAACAGATTACAAAGTTTCCATATGTGACTATAATAAACTAACGTAATAGAAAGGGCAAGCAGTTTATCAATTCTTGAAACTAAATTTAGGAAAAATAGTCTCAAAAAAACCCACCTCATTACTCTCAACTTATGGATGTATACTATTTGGGAAGACACTTTTCTTGACACTGACATGTTTAAAGCTGTAGGGAAATCAGTGTCAGGGAATGTGAACTAATCTGAGCATTATCAAGGAGAGCATAGAGTTTATCATCATCTGACAGATCTTAAGATGCATTATTCCTTTCAGTAAATATGCCATCTTGTTATATTTTAAGTTGAGTGTATTTCGGAGGGGGGAAAAGATCCCAGAAAGAATAAAATAAAAGAGCTCTCACCTCAAATCAGAGACACCTTTCACTGATAAAGGCATTTATCAGTACCCACCTGCCTCTAGAACTCAGAGGAATGGTAAAAAAAAAAAAAAAATTGTTCAGCAAGTATCTATGAACACAGGAGTGCTTTAAAAATACAGCTCTTTATTTTTAAAACTTTTATTAGACTTTAAGATCTGGGATACATGTGCAGAACATATAGGTTACATAGGTATGTATACAGGTGTCATGGTGGTTTGCTGCACCCGTTAACTCGTCAACTACATTAGGTAGTCCTCCTAGTACTATCCCCCTCCCCTTGCCCTGCACCCCCTGAATGGCTTTGGTATGTGATGTTCCCCTCCCTGTGCCCATGTGTTCTCATTGTTCAACACTCACTTATAAGTGAGAACATGCGGTGTTTGGTTTTCTGCTCATGTTAGTTTGCTGAGGACAATAGTTTCCAGCTTCATCCATGTCCCTGCAAAGGACATGAACTCATTCTTTACTATGGCTGCACAGTATTCCATGGTGTGTATGTGTCACATTTTCTTTATCCAGTCTATCATTGATGGGCAATTTGGGTTGGTTCCAAGTCTTTGCTATTATGAATGGTGCTGCAATAAACAAAGGTGTGCATGTATCTTTATAGAATGATTTGTAATCCTTTGGGTACATACACAGTAATGGGATTGCTGGGTCAAATGGTATTTCTGCTTCTACATCCTTGAGGAATCGCCACAGTCTTCCACAATGGTTGAACTAATTTACAATCCCACCAACTGTGTAAAAGCATTCCTATTTCTCCACAACCTCTGCAACATCTGTTGTTTCCTTTTTTTTTTTTTGAGACGGAGTTTTGCTCATTACCCAGGCTGGAGTGCAATGGTGCGACCTTGGCTCACCGCAACCTCCGCCTCCTGGGTTCAGGCAATTCTCCTGCCTCAGCCTCCTGAGTAGCTGGGATTACAGGCACACACCACTGTGCCCAGCTAATTTTTTGTATATTTAGTAGAGACAGGGTTTCACCATGCTGACCAGGATGGTCTCGAACTCTTGACCTCGTGATACACCCACCTCGGCCTCCCAAAGTGCTGGGATTACAGGCGTGAGCCACCGCGCCCGGCCCTGTTTCCTAACTTTTTAATGATCACCATTCTAACTGGCCTGAGATGGTATCTCAAGGTGGTTTTGATTTGCATTTCTCTAATGACTAGGTGATGAGCTTTTCTTCATATGTTTGTTAGCTGCATAAATGTCTTCTTTTGAGAAGTGTCTGTCCATATCCTTTGCCTACTTTTTGATGGGTTGTTTTTCTTGTAAATTTAAGTTCCTTATAGATTCTGGATATTAACCCTTTGTCATAGATTGCAAAAATTTTCTCCCATTCTGTAGGTTGCCTGTTCACTCTGATGATAGTTTCTTTTGCTGTGCAGAAGCTCTTTAATTAGATACTATTTGTCAATTTTGGCTTTTGCTTTTGCGGCAATTGCTTTTGGTGTTTTAGTCTTAGCCATGCCTATGTCCTGAATGGCACTGCCTAGGTTTTCTTCTAGGATTTTTTATGGTTTTAGGTCTTATCTTTAAGTCTTTAATAAATCTTGAGTTAATTTGTGTATATAAGGTGTAAGGAAGGGGTTCGGTTTCAGTTTTCTATATACGGTTAGCCAGTTTTCCCAACACCATTCATTACATAGGGAATCCCTTGCTTATTTTTGTCAGCTTTGTCAAAGATCAGATGGTTGTAGATATGTGGTGGTATTTCTGAGGCCTCTGTTCTGTTCCATTGGTCTATATATCTGTTTTGGTACCAGTACCATGCTGTTTTGGTTACTGCAGTCTTGTAGTATAATTTGAAGTCAGGTAGCATGATGCCTCCACCTTTGCTCTTTTTGCTTAGGATTGTCTTGGCTATGTGGGCTGTTTTGGTTTCACATGAAATTTAAAGTAGTTTTTTTCCAATTCTGTGTAGAAAGTCAATGATAGCTTGATGGGGATAGCACTGAATTTATGAATTACTTGAGCAGTATGGCCATTTTCACAATATTGATTCTTCCTATCCGTGAGCATGGAATGTTTTTCCATTTGGCTGTGTCCTCTTTTATTTCCTTGAGCAGTGGTTTGTAGTTCTCCTTGAAGCAGTCCTTCACATCCCCTGTAAGTTGTATTCCTAGGTATTTTATTCTCTTTGTAGCAATTGTGAATGGGAGTTTGCTCATGATTTGGCTATTATTGGTATATAGGAATGCTTACGATATTTGCACATTGATTTTGTATCCTGAGACTTTGCTGAAGTTGCTTATCAGCTTAAAGAGATTTGGGGCTGAGACAATAGGGTTTTCTGCATATACAATCATGTCATCTGCAAACAGAAACAATTTGACTTCCTCTCTTCCTCTTTGAATAATACTGTTTCTTTCCCTTGCCTGTTTGCATTGGCCAGAACTTTCAATACTATGCTGAATAGGAGTGGTGAGAGAGGGCATCATCTTGTGCCAGTTTTCAAAGGGAATGCTTCCAGCTTTTGCTTATTCAGTATAATATTGGCTATGGGTTTGTCATAAATAGCTCTTATTATTTTGAGATACATTCCATCAATACCTAGTTTATTGAGTCTTTAGCATGAAGGGGTGTTGAAATTTATCAAAGGCTTTTTCTGCATCTATTCAGATAATCATGTGGTTTTTGTCATTGGCTCTGTTTATATGATGGATTATGTCTACTGATTTGCATATGTTGAACCAGCCTTGCATCACAGGGATGGAGCTGACTTGATCATGGTGGATAAGCTTCTTAATGGGCTGCTGGATTCAGTCTGCCAGTATCTTACTGAGGATTTGTGCATAGATGTTCATCAGGGATATTGGCATGAAATTTTTGCTATTGTTGTTGTGTCTCTGCCAGGTTTTGGTATCAGGGTGATGCTGGCCTTATAAAATGAATTAGGAAGGAATCCTTCTTTTTCTACTGTTTGGAATAGTTTCAGAATGAATGGTACCAGCTCCTCTTTGTACCGCTGGTGGAATTTGGCTATGAATCCGACTGGTCCTGGACTTTTTTTGGTTGGTAGGCTATTAATTACTGCCTCAATTTCAGAACTCATTATTGGTCTATTCAGGGATTTGACCTCTTCTTCATTTAGTCTTGGGAGGGGGTATGTGTCCAGGAATGTATTCATTTATTCTAGATTTTCTAGTTTATTGCATAGAGGTATTTATAGTATTCTCTGATAGTACTTTGTATTTCCGTGGGATCAGTGGTGATATCCCCTTTATCATCTTGTATTGTGTCTATTTGATTCTTCTCTCTTTTCTTCTTTATTCATCAGGCTAATGGCCTATTTTGTTATTCTTTTCTAAAAACCAGCTCCTGGATTCAATGATTTTTTTGAAGGGTTTTTTCATGTCTCTATCTCTTTCAGTTCTGCTCTGATCTTAGTTATTTCATGTCTTCTGCTAGCTTTTGAATTTGTCTGCTCTTACTTCTCTAGTTCTTTTAATTTTGACGTTAAGGTGTTGATGTCATATATTTCCCGCTTTGTCATGTGGGCATTTAGTGTTATAAATTTCCTTCTAAACACTGCTTTAGTTGTGTTCCAGAGATTCTGGTATGTTGTCTCTTTGTCCTCATTGGTTTCAAAGAACAAAATACAGCTCTTTAAATGCCTTTGAATTTGTGTAATTTTCACATAAAATGGAAAGATAGTCATAAAAATATTTTAGGATAATTCCTTTATTTTTGAGATAAAACAACACAGTGAAAAGTTAGCATATAATGTTAAATATAATAGCTAACCTAATATATGCTGAGGTTGTGCTGCTTACAGCCCAGTACCTCTCTCTTCAGTTTAATGACTATTTTATGATAAGAGAAAATAAAGCACAAGGAGGCTAAATCAGAAAACTTATATTCAGAGATCTCTTAGATAGAAATAAATTTTTTAATTTTTAGTCCCCTTAGTGCTTTTGGCTTTTGAAGTTCAAGTCTGATTACCAAAATGGCTTATACTTTGAAATAGGGCTTATCAAAGCAATTTAACATGACACTTACCTGCAATCCTAGATTGAAATAGTACTGCAAAACTTTTGTATCTAAAATTAAAAATTAAAAAAAAAATTAGTGACTAGACTGACATAAGCAATTAGAATTATCTTTTCAAAAGCTTTTCTGGCCAGGCACAGTGGCTCACACCTGTAATCCCAGCACTCTGGGAGGCTGAGGTGGGCAGATCACGTGAGGTCAGGAGTTCAAGACCATCCCGGCCAACATGATGAAACCCTGTCTCTACTACAACTACAAAAATTAGCTGGGGGTGGTGGCAGGTGCCTGTAATCCCAGCTACTCAGAAGGCTGAGGCATGAGAATCACTGGAACCTGGGAAACGGAGGTTGCACTGAGCCAAGACTGTGCCACTGCACTCCAGCCTGGGTGACAGAGTGATACTCCATCTCAAAATAGGGGGAAAAAAAGCTTTTCTCTTTCGGCATTATTAAGGTAGATATCAATGTAATCTTGCCACATTAATATCACTCTTAATTTTACCTTATAATAAATGACTACTTACCTACCAATATAGGTAAGATTATTTTCTCATCTAAGGTTTAGTTACCAAATACAAATTTCATTTCTAATCTTAATTTTAGGCTACTGTTATAGGAATGCCACTCAAGCAATATTTAGGAAGAATCCAATAAAGGCATTTTTTTTCACTTGTTTCAAGATGGAGTTTTTAGTTTAATACACTTCTAGTACATAAGCAATCATTTTGGTCCTCAGTTACTAGCCCTACTAGACATTACAGACTAATGTTCTACTGACAGAGGTTAGTGATGCCTGCTGAGACAATTACAACAATATGAAACTATTCACTGCTTTTATTTACCACGACTGACATACCACCATCAGAACTCCAAAGAGAAGGGCAATGAGCAAGGTAATTTCTCTAGACATTACGAAACTAAACTACTTCATAAACGAAAAAAAACTGTTCTTAGCATTACAGTTGTATCTCTAAATGTATTTTTATTCCTTTACCTGAGATCTGCACATATTTTTATTTCTAAAGTAATATAACCTGAGTTCCACTAATAGATGAACTTTCAGAAAACCCTTCTTTCTTAGGTTGGAGACTCCCTAAACAGATATATTTACTGCCATTAAAAAAAAAAAATCAGCCTCTATTTTCACTGTTATATGGGAACACAGTATAAAGCCTAATGCTCCAGCTAAAGAATATTTAAAAAATAGGAAATAAATTCTTCAGTGGCATTGGATTCTACTCCTTGATACAAACATAAATAAAAAAATAACTTGCATACACAAATGCACATAGTATTAATAGCCAAAATGTGAAAGCAACTCAAATTTTCCTCAACTTACAGATAAAATATGATACAGACATACTTTGGAGATATCATGGGTTTGGTTCCAGAACAAATAAAGACAATATTGCAAGGAAGTGAGTCATACCAATTTTTTGGTTTCCCAGGATATATAAAAGTTATGCTTATTGCTGGGCACAGTGGCTCACTCCTGTAATCCCAGAACTTCAGCAGGCTGAGGTGGGTGGATCATGAGGTCAGGAGACTGAGACCATCCTGGCCAACATGGTCAAACCCAACTCTACTAAAAATACAAAAATTAGCCAGGAGCAGTGTCACACACCTGTAATCCCAGCTACTCAGGAGGCTGAGGCAGCAGAATCACTTGAATCTAGGAGTTAGAGGTTTCAGTGAGCCAAGATCATGCCACTGCATCCCAGCATGGTGACAGAGGAAGTCTCCATCTCAAAAAAAAAGTTACGCTTATACACTATACTGTAGTCTTTTCAGAGAATAATAATGTTAGATCTAAGAAAACAATGTATATACCTTAAATTTAAAATACTTTATTGCTGGCCGGGCGCAATGGCTCACACCTGTAATCCTAACACTCTGGGAGGCCAAGGCAGGTGAATCACTTGAGGTCAGGAGTTTGAAACCAGCCTGGCCAGCATGGAGAAACCCCATTTCTACTAAAAATACAAAAATTATCTAGGCATGGTGGTGGGCGCTTGTAATGCCAGCTACTCGGGAGGCTGAGGCAGGAGAATCACTTGAACCCAGGAGGTGGAGGTTGTAGTGAGCCGAGATCATACCACTGCACTCCAGCCTGGGTGACAGAGACTCCATCTCAAAAAAGAAAGAAAGAAAGAAATAATAAATAAAACACTTTACTGCTAAAAAATATGCTGACAGAAATGAAGGGAGAAAAGGGAGAATATATTGTTGGAAAAACAGTGCCAATAGATTTGCTTGACACTGGGTTGTCACAAATCTTCAATTTGTAAAACAATAAAAATCACATTATCTATAAAATACAATAAAACAAAGTACAACAAAATGGAATATGCCAATACATCCATATGCTGAAATGTTCTGGCCATAAGAAAGAAGAATGCACTGATATATGTGACAACATGAACCTTGAAAACGGTATGCTTAGAGAAAAAAAGTTAGTTGCAAAAGACCACATATTTTATGATTCTATTTATATGAAATGTCCAGAATAGGCAAATCCATTGATAAAACAGAGGAGTGACTGCTAAGGCCAGGGAGAATGGGGAGCACCTACTAATGAATACACGATATGTTCTCACGGTTAATAGAACTTAGATGGGAGAGTGAGTGGGGAAAGAATTTGAGTTGAATCATAATGACAGCAAATGCTTAGGAGAAGAAAATCCACTACACGGAGTTCACATAGGAGCAGAAAGAGATAAGATTGGAATAGAGACTAGACTGTGGAAAGTCATAAATGCCATACTTAAGTCTGTTGAACTTTAATCTACACAAAACAAAAAATCACTGAAGAGTTCTGAGCTAGGAAGAGATACAAAGTGGAACAGTACCAGAGTAATGAGACCAATGGAGAAGCTACTCTAATTGTTCAGGGACAAGGTGATAAATGCATGATCAAGGAAAGAGGCAATGGATATTTTTTTAAAACCCTCTGTGAAACCCAGATTCTTAATAAATCAGCCAAGGTTAACATGCAAAAATCAATTCTATATTTATGTACAGGACAAAACAGGAAAATAAAAGTTTTAAAATTCTATTTACTATAGCTCCAAAACCCCAAATACACAGGAACACATTTAACAGAAAAGAAGACTGCTACACACACACACACACACACACACACACACACACACACACACAAATGTTGAGAAACCAAATGCAGCCTAAATAAATTGACAGATACACTATGACACCATGTTCATGAATTCAAAGAGATCATATTTTTAAGAACTGACATTCTCCCCAAATTGAGCTATAGATTATAAACACAATCCCAAATTTCCAGAAGGTTTCTCTTTTATGTTTTATCAAATTTGATAGTCTAAGACAAATGCAAATTACCCACCTTACTTCAAATATCTCACTAAAAAGACAATGTGGTAATGATGTAAGGATTAAAAAATAGATCAATGCAATAGAAGAGGGCACATAAATAGACCTGCACTTAAAACGGTCATTTTATTTTTGACTAAAACACCAAAGTGATCCAACAAGGAAAGGAAAACCTTTTTTACAAATGGTACTGCTGGAATACTGGAGATCCATAAAGGATAAAAAAACACACAAGTCACCTCAACCTCTATCTCATACCATCCACAAAAATTAATTTGAGATGGGTAGTGGACTTCAATGTAAAACTAAAAGCATTATGCTTTTAAAGGAAAACACAGGAGACAATCATAATGACTTGAGAGTAAGGCATTTTTTTATTTGAATCAGAGTCTCATTCTGTCACCCAGGCTGGAGTGCAGTGGCATGATCTTGGCTCAGTACAACCTCTACCTCCTGGGTTCAAGTGCTTCTCCTACCTCAGCCTGCCAAGTAGCTGGGATTACAAATGCATATCACCACACCTGGCTAAATTTTGTATTTTTAGTAGAAGCGGGATTTCACCATGTTGGCCAGTGTGGACTCGAACTTCTGACCTCAAGTGATCTGCCTGCCTTGGCCTCCCAAAGTGTTAGGATTACAGGTGTGAGCCACCATGCTCAGCCAGTTTCTTAGATTACAGAAAGCAATACACACCAAAAAAATTATCAATTCGATTTCATCAGAATTAAAATCCTCTATTCATCAGAAGGCACCAAGAAGAAAATAGATAAGCCACAGAATAGGAGCAGATATTCAGAAAACATACCTGACAAAAGACTAGCATAGAGAATATGTAGAGAACTTCCACAACTCAATAACAAGCACCCAATAAGAGAGTAGTCAAAATATGTGAACACTTTACAAAAAATATGCAAATGGCCAATAAGCACATGAAAAAAGTACCCAAACAACTGGACATTCACATGCAAAAATATGCATCTACACATAGACTTTACATACTTCACAAAAAAAGTCATCAAAATGTATCACAGACCTAAAAGTGAAATGCAAAACATAAAACTCCTAGACAGTAACAGGAAAAAATCTAGATGACCTTGAGTCTGGCAATTGCTTTTTAGATATAATACCGTAGGCATGATCCATAAAAGAAATAATTTTTAAGTTGGAGTTCCTTAAAATTAAAAACATCCGCTCTGCGAAAGATACTCAAGAGAATGAAAAGACAAACCACCGATTTGGAAAAAATATCTCCAAAAGACATACCTCATATAACAGACTGTTACCCAAAATATACAAAGAACTTTTAGAACTCAGTATGTAAACAACCTGAATTAAAAACGGGCCAAACACCTTAACAGATGTTTCACCAAAGATATACAGATGGCAAATAAGCACATGAAAAGATGCTCCATGTTGGACTTCACAAAGAAAATGCAAATTAAAACAATGAGATGCCATTACACACCTATTAAAATGGCCAAAATCCAGAACAGACAACACCAAATACTGGCATGAATGTGGAACTACAGGAACACTCATTCATTGCTGGTGGGAATGTGAAATAGCTATTCTGGAAGACAGTTTGACAGTTTCTTATAAAGGAAAAGATATTCTTATTCAATCGAGTAATTGTAATCCTTGGTGTTTGCCCAAAGGAGTTAAAAATATATTTCCACACAAAAACTTGCATGTGGATGTTTAGGGCAACTGTAACAGAAAGTGGAAGCAACCAAGATGTTATTCAGTAGATGAATGGATATATAAACTGTGGTACATTCAGATAATAATTTGGTGAGTAATCTTAAATACATATTGCTAAGAGCCAATCTGAAAAGGCTACATACTGCATGATTGCAACTATATGGCATTCTGGAAAAGTCAAAGCTATGGAGACAGTAAAAGATCAGTGATTGCCAGGAGATGGGGGATGAACAATAATAGGCAGAGCACAGATTTCTGGGGCAGAGACACTCCATTATAGCATCTATGTGATGCTATAATGAAGGATACATGCTATTATACTTTTGTCCAAACTCATGAAAGTGCAACAGAAAGAGTGAACACTAATATAAACTATAGCCTCTGGGTGATAATGATGTACCAAGGTAGGTTCATCATTGTAGCAAATATACCATGCTGGTATGGTGGGGGGACACTGATAATATGGGAGGCTACAGACATGGGGGGGGCTGGTGGAAAATGGGAAATCCCTATGCCTTCCTCCCAATTTGGCAATGAACAGAAAACTGCTCTACAAAATAGATTTTTTTTTTAAACATGATCAGTCACCAGAATGGATAAAGTTAAAGAAAGTGGCAACAATAAATGTTGGTGAGGAAGTGAAACAACTGGAATTCTCATACACTGCTGGTGGAAGTGTAAAATGGTATAACTTCAGAAAAATGTTTGGCAGTTACTTATAAAAGTAAGTACATATCTCTTTATGACCCAGCAATTCCACTGCTAGGTATTTGCCCAAGGGAAATAAAAATGTATGTTTACAAAGACTTTTACAAGAATGTTCATAGCAGCTTTTTTCATAATAGCCCCAAACTCCAAATAGTCCAGCTATCTATCACCAACAGGAGAATGGACAAACTGGAATAGTCATAAAATGAAATGCTACTCAGCAATGAAAACAAGTGGGCTAATGACACATGCAACAACAGACAAATCTCGGAAATCATGCCAAGTTTAAGAAGCTTTCCATAAAGATTATATATTACAAGATTACATTTATACAAAATTCTAAAACAGGCAAAACTAATCTATGGTAAAAAAAAAAAAAGTCAGAACAGTGGTTGTCTCTAGGGGGAACATGGAAAAAACTGGGAAGGAGCATGAGGCAACTTTGTGGGACAATGTTAATACTTTATACCTTGATAGGGATTTGGGTTACACAAGTGTGTGCATGCATATGTTAAAACTAAGCTAATGTGCACTTAAGTTTTGTATATTTCATTATATGTAAACTGTACATCAAAAAGTAAAAAAATCTACTTAATAAGATGTATCCTGAGGTTTTAATGGGGAAGTGTACAAATGGCTACAATTTACAAATGATACAAATGTATCAAAAAGAAGATGGATTAATAGAGATGGATAGAGGGAAAGACTGGATAGATATGTGATAAAGTAGTTAAACATTTATGATAGAATATAGGTGGATAGATAAGACTTCATTTTAAAATTCAACTTTATGAATGTTTGAATATATTCATAGCAAAATATTATGAAAAATACAAAATCAGAATTTTGTGGTGACTAAGTACATCTCAGGCATAGGTAGGTAAGGAAAGGGAGAGAAGTAAAGGAATCAGAGTTTAGATACTGGGCAAATTAGGTGGAAATGATACCACTTAACAAAATAGAAAACCAAGGAGAAAAGTCAACGTTTTGTGTGACTTGGGGAAAAGATAAATATGAGGAATTTCATTACTGAAATGAAAGCTAAAAACTAAATGAAAATGTCCAGCAAGTATCTGGAGACAAGTAACTAAAAACTTTTGATGCCAAGGCTAGCTAGATTTAAGAATCAACTACATAGAAATAACAGTGAAGTTTAAGGATAGGAAAAAGACAAAAGGGAGCTAAAAAAAATCTTGGTGATTAGGGGTTGGAAAAAAAAATAGAGAAGCAGCTAGAAAAGAAACAAGGAAATGTTATAGCAAGAAAGTATAAGTAAGCTACAAACAATTCTCAACTATAATTCTCTCTAGCAATATGTCAATGAGGGGTAATAAAGAACTTCCAATGAAAAACTACTCCGTAGATGTTTAAGAAAACACAGCAGAAATTCAAGGCAGATAAGACTCCTAATCCCCACTCCCTCAAATCTTTAAAATTCAGTTGAAATTCTAAATATAAAATATTGCAATAATTCATGTACTTGCGGAAACAATTTAAGAAATAAAGAAAAATTTGATACCAAGTCCTGTTTTGCAAAAAGACAGTTAAGAAAATCAAAGACAGCCATTTGAGAATCTTCTTCAGGGTAGGCATGTAGCTACCAAAATGAAAGAAAACAAAAAAACAGCAGCACACATCAACTCAACCATTCATTTGTTGATTATGTAGACCATATTCTGTTTTCAGCTTTTAATTGCTCCTTTCCTTAGTCACTTGCTGCATTGTGTTCTCAAGTCAATTTTCATTTGGTTCCCCATTTCCCAATAGGTCAACCAAAGAGAGAGATGCTCTAAAAATATTTTTTAAATCTCAGACCCCTCACCTAAGTCTCAAAATCTACTTACCTTGAGGCAAATCACTGCCGCTTGGATCACAGGAATAAGATGGAGGTGGTGGTGGTGGTGGTAAATTTGAAGCCTCTCCCACATCAAGAGGAGGAGGAGGAGGAGGAGGAGGAGGTGGTGGTGGTGGTGGTAGTGGTAGAGAGGTACCAGCATGAGGAGTAGGAGCAGAATGGCATGGATAGGATGGCGAGGCAATCACTAACAAAGAAACAAAACATAACAGAGAAATATACAACTATAACACCTTATGAACAGTAGGTTCATCTGCTTGTCTCCAGTATGGTCATAGAACTCTTAAATCTTACTGTTTGGCTTTAAAAAAAAAAAAAACATGGACAGTGAGTTGTCAACATTCTCTTACACGTTAACAATCGAGAACTAGTTTATTACAGGTCGTTTTGATTTAAGAAAATTATTGGAAATTAAAAGGGAACAAACTGGAAGACACAGAGCTTTGATTATCAGACTTTGAACGCTTAGCTAACAGGTACATAAATAAAACGTATAATTATAGCAAAATTTTTACTTAGCTTAATACCCAATGCAAATTTAAGAATGTTTTCAGCAATCTGTCACTCTCGGTCAAATCACAAAATGTAGAAGCTAATAAGAGATGGACTAAAGTGGATAGATTACAGATTTTAGCAATCATTGAAGGTTTCTACTGGTAGCATCTGAGGAATATAGGGAACTTTAAATCATGACTGTCCCATTTCTAAGGAGGTACAGAATCTAAAAACAGGCTATATACAGTATCTTAACCTTTTAACTTTCTATACCTGTTACTACAGCCTAGAAACAATCAATACTCATTTAAAAGTTTGTTCTTGACATAAGAAATGCAGATGTAATTATGTTTAAATACTAATCCTATGATGAAAAAGGAAACAACATGTTTACAGCCTAGTTAAAACACATACCTGCATATATAACATAACTGGTAAATTTGTTAATTTTTTCTTTTTACAAAAGATGATTAATACAAACCCTTCAAGTTTAACTGAATGATTTTAAACAGCTTAAATCCAAGTACAAAATTTCATCATTGTGTTATCTGCATTATCATTTTAACCCTGAGAAACATAGAAAGTTCAGTCTTAATCTATAAAGGTTTAAACTCAGAGTTTTAGCACACTGAGGTTAGCATAGAAACAATTCACACAAGTTGAATTTGTTAATCTGATGTTTTAGCAAGACATAATCCACATTGTTTCCATTTACTGATCAGTACTAACAATATACTCACCTATATCATTTGTACAATTACAGGCTAACAGTAATAGATCTATGTCTTTGGGTGATCTAAAACTTTATAAACAACTTTTTAGGAGTAATACAATTATTATCTCAATTGTGGTATTGGTTACACAACTCTGCATTTGTCAAAGCTCACAGAACTGGGCACCAAAAATGAATTATACTGTATCTAAATTAAACAGCAAATTCTTAGAGCTTGCTCAACTAGCTGTTTTGGAGTCTTGTCATACATTTAGAAATGTCTAATTTTACAGTTTTGAGAGAGGAATTTAATTTTCAGAATATCTCCAAATGTAGATACAGATTTTTTTTAATAAAATGGTTCCAACAAAACTCTGCTCTTACTCCTTTTAAACTAGCACTGAAAACAAATCATACCATCTTTTTTAAAAAAGCAAATGGAGAAAGGCAATTAGCTAAAGATAGTAGAATGTTATTAAGATCACTAGGTAAAAACCAACTACTAGACATACAAACGGCTAAATACATTCTCACGGGCCTGAAAGAATCAAGAGTAGACACAATTTGGAGGTTACTTTGTCTGAATTCACCTTCCGTATAAATGCACAGTGTTACAATAAACCCTCCACAAAAAAGCTTTTAGAATTTCAAGTTTCTATAGAGATGCATCAGTATCTCATCCTTAGACTTACAAAGAGCTCCACAGGCTTAACATATACATTTCAAGAGATGGCTCACGAATTATAGAAACGTCTTCTAAAATACTAGTAGAAATCAATGTAATGCATTCAGAATGCTGATTTCCCCCATCCCTGTAGCTGTAGTCTGCCTCAGGACACTTCAGAAGAGAACATAATAAGAACATAATATATAATAAGATACTGTTGCTTCTCCAAAAATCACAGAGCAGGGCCAAGGCCAAGGTATGGTGAGATGCAGCAGTGCAAAATTTAAAGGGCTACCCAAACTAACACAAAGAAAACTGCTATGAATACAACATCAAAATTTTTAATAAAGACAGGATCCAACCCTGTACTTGCATGACCCCAAGAGTATATGCCTCACTCAACTCACCTTAAACCTGGTCCACAGATCTGGTCTTTATTGATACTTTGTACTCAAATTTTTTTATATTAATCTTTATTTTTTTAATGATGAATTAAAGTGTTATTTATCTTGACTACTGTGGTGTGTGTTTGTATGTGTTTTGGTTTTTTTTTTTTTTTTTTGACATTCTATTAAATTTTGCACTCAGGGAGAGTCACTGATCCCAGCCCTGGCAAAAGACTTGGGAACATTTACTGAAATCCAGAGCTTTAAGTTGACAGGATTTAACGCCTAAAAGGAGACTCATAATTAAGGGCAATCATCACATGTAGTTACCTGGCAGATTAGCAGTCACTTAAAGATGGGAGGGGCCTGCCAGAGAGAGATATGAACAACAAAGTGGGAAAAATCAGTTGTTTCATCTAGAGGATGGACAAGAATGACAAAGAGCAACTAAAAAGTAGCCGGATCTAGTAAAGCAGATCTACAGTTGAGGTTCATTAAGTGACTAAACAAAAAGTAAACAAATGAAGGCAGTGTACATTTTAAGAAAAATCTGTCATTTAAATGGTAATCTTTCAATGATTCCACAAATAAAACATTACAATTCTTGCTTCATCTATCACTTGAATTTAAGCTCAGACAGCTGCTGGAAGCAGACAGCAAATGTTTTCTCCTACAACTAGCAAAATGTAGTAAAACTAGGGTCTACACTGACATTTCCAGTAAAAAATTTATATCATCATTAAATAACATTTATTATTTTTGTTCCAGGTACTGTGCTAAGCACTTTTTTTTTCCTTTGAGATGACGTCTTACTCTATTGCCCAGGCTGGAGTGCAACGGTGTGGTCTCAGCTCACTGCAACTTCCAATTCCTGAGTTCAAGTGATTCTCCTGCCTCAGCCTCCCAAATAGCTGGGATTACAGGCACCTGCCACCATGCCCAGCTAATTTTCATATTTTTAGTAGAGATAGGGTTTTACTATGTTGGCCAGGCTGGTCTGGAAATCCTGACCTCAGGTGATCCACCCACCTTGGCCTCCCCAAGTGCTGGGATTACAGGTGGGAGCCACTGCACCCAGCCTACTTTATCTTTTTATAAATGAAACAGATACAGCGAACTAATCAAATACATATTGCTTAATGAGTCATTTTAACGTGGATACTACCCATGTCTAGAAATACTTCATTAGTCTCTTTTTCCCTCCTAACAAAACCAACAATTATTTTGACTTTAAATAGTAATCACTTCCTCGGGGTCTTTTCAGAGTTTTGTCACTCAAATGTGCATCCATGAACACTACTAGTTTTTAGTCTTGTTCATTAAAAAAATTGGCTATTTCTTGAATCTCCTAATGTATTGGTCCCTCCTTCGTCTATTTCCTGACAGTTCTGCTTTAAAGAATCTGGGCACTTTGACCTGATAAGCTTCCCACAGTCTGGATTTTGCAGATTACATACTCATGGTGCAATTCAACATGTATTCTGTATTTCCTGTCAATAGGTAGTTAGATCCAGGAGACTGAATAAGACACAGGATTGATTTCTTTGGCACATCTATAGCTAATGTTTGACTATCTTTGCAATCTTAGTAGCTACTGATGTTTAATGTCCATCCATTTAATGGGAACTGCAAAATTATTCTGTCACTTTTTTATTGATTATTGATTAGTTAGAATACTATTACAAAGAGATACTTCCCCTCATCTATTTGGTTAATCAGTGGTATAGTTCATAAAAGGCAAGCAGAATAAATGCTTATTTCATGTTCTAGTTTTCAAGAAAATGAATTTATTTCCTATCATCCTCTTAAAGCAAGCAATTTAAAAAAATATCATTAAGAACTTCGACATACTTGGCATGTTCCAATCTAGTGCAATGATCATTGTTGAGGCTCAAATTGTTCCATCTTTGGCCAGTGAGAATCCTTTTGTGATGGCTTCTGAGTCCTTTTGACACAATGCCTATACTCTTTGATATGTTCCTTGCTATCTTATATGATAAGATGTTCCAGGCTCATCTTGAACATTTCCTGCCCAGACCTGGAATCAGACATTTCTCCATAGAGCCCAGTTTTTTCTTTTTTACAGTAATAAATGGTATTTTAAGACCAAAAACTAGGTATTAGGGATACTTATTGTTTACAGGCCTTTCAGTGGACAGAGCAAGGAAACATATACATATATTTAAAGATATCTCAAGTTCATATTGATACTTCTAATTCAAATTCAAAACTATAAAAGCTTTCAATTAGCCTCTACAACAACTGCAATACCTTTTTTCCATACTAAGAATCCTGATTCACAAGGACACAGGGGATAAAATTAGAATATCCCGTAATTACTCATTTACTTTAGCCCACATTACACAGTCTCAGAATAACATTGATTATCTAAATAAAAGAACCTGATGTGACTGAGAACATGAAAAATGCTCTGCCCATCTTTGTCCATATTCACTCAATTCTACCATTAAAAAAAATAACTACATCTACACCCTCCAAACATAAGCCTATTACATAGTATAGTCTCAACTTCTCAGCCCTCATTTGTCTTACTTCTACAGGTAACTATGTATTTAATACTTGCCATCACGTTCTTATGTCTCTAACATCTCTAATTGGTCTGTCTCTAATTTTTCTGGTAGCCTAAAACTCTAAGTTCATTCTCTAGTCTACTGTTGTCCAATACAAGTTTTTGTGATGGTAGAAATATTCTCTATCTGTGTTGTCCAATACAGTAGCTACTAGCCACATGTGGCTTTGAGCATTTGTATATGGCTAATGCAACTGAGGAAATAAAGATTTACTTTATTTAACTATAATTAATTTCCACAGGTGGCTAGTGATTACCCTGCTTGACAGTACAGCTCTCAGAGATTCATCAGAAGGGCTCATGGGAATAATATTATTGGGTTCTTACAGGTTGCCCTTTGTGCTTGAAAATCACTTTGATTAGATACAAAATTATTGGTTCACATATTCTTTCCCTGGGTATCTTAAATGTTATTCTATTTTCTTCTAGCATAAAGCAATACTGTCAAAGTTTGATGATTAGCATTATATTTCTCTTACATGCCATAAACTTAGATATCAGGACTTAAGTAGTAATTTTATTAGAATATTCTGCTGTTCCTTGTTCTGGGTCAATATTCTCAGGTATTCAGGGTACTGTTTCAAGTATGTACTTTTAAAACTTTTTAAACTTGATATGGTTTGGCTTTGTGTCCACACCCAAATCTCATCTTGAATTGTAAACTGTGTTGTAATCTCCTGAATCATGGAAGCGGTTTTCACTATGCTGTTCTTGTGATAGTGAATGAATTCCCACCAGATCTGATAGTTTTATAAATGGCCATTTCCCCTGCACTTTCACTGTCCTGGTGCCTTGTGAAGAACGTGTCTGCTTCCCCTTCACCTTCTGCCATGATTGAAGGTTTCCTGAGGCTTCCTCAGCCATGCAGAACTGTGAGTCAATTAAACCTCTTTCCTTTATAAATTATCTAGTCTCAGGGATTTCTTTATAGCAGTGTGGAAACAAACTAATACTAAACTTCAGCAAAGTTTTCTAAATTATAGCTTTTGGTATTTTTGTTCCCTTACTTTGGTTTTCTTTTTCAGGGACTTCTATCCATGCTTGCTCTTATTTACCTAACTTCAAATATGTTTCTTTAAAATCTTTATCCTCATTTTTTTTTTTCAATTTTAGATTTCACCCTTCTTACATCTTTATCTTTTAAAAAAGTTTATCGCTGGGCATGGTGGCTCATGCCTGTAATCCCAGCACTTTGGGAGGCTGAGGTGGGTAAATCACTTAAGCCCAGGAGTTCAAGACCAGGTTGGGCAACATGACAAGACCCTGTCTCTACAAAAACACAATAATTAGCTGAGTGTGGTGGCGCGTGCCTATAGTCCCAGCTACTGGGGGCTGAGGCAGGAGGATCGTTTGAACCCTGGAGATCCAGGCTGCAGTGAGCCATGATCATGCCACCACACTCTACTTGGTGACACAGCAAAATCCTGTCTCAAAAAAAAAAAAAAAATTAAAGCCTACAGCACCCTTATTTCTCTTAACACATTATCTGCTGCACATACAGAGTGAGTATTCCTAATTTGGAAATCTGAAATTCAAACTGCTCCAAATTCCAAAACTAAGTTCCTATATAGTGCTCAAAGGAAATGCTCACTGGAGAATCATGGATTTTCAGATTAAGGATGCTCAACAAGTATAATGCAAATATTCCAAAATCTAAGAAAAAAAAAATTCCTATGTTCAAAACACTTCTGGTCCCAAGCACTTTGAATAAGGAATACTCAACCTGCATTTGCTCAAGCTCATAGTTTAGTCTCCATTACTAAAATTACCTTCTCCCCTTTATAATTATTTCTTGAGTTCTATCACCTCAGTGAGTTTTTCTAATTCTGATTTACATTATTCTTAAATGTTTTGTATTCTTAGTATCTTTAGCTCATTTTGAAATAGTTTGTCATGGTTTTTAGTTTGTTTAGTCCTGCTTAGTGTTTCATTTCTAATATGTTTTCACTGCCTGTAGGGATATTATTCTGCTTTTTATTCCCTAAGATGTATTTGCATAACATTTGACCTTAACCCTCTTGTTCTTTTTCCAGACCTGCTCTTTTCTCTATCCTGATCAATTCAGATTCCACTCTTAGCAGTTTCTTCCCAGTGTGGAATATTATCCTAAAAGGGAGCTCTGGCAGGTCAATTTTGAAAAGTAGAGGTTAAACTGTTTCAAGCCCTTTAAGTCCTCTACTATGCCTCATGCACTCACCTAGTATTAGAGACACCAAATCCCTTCCCAGTTTTAGCTGCTGCTTCCAAATTATCCGTCCCACTTTTCAGTGCATTCTTATTCACTGGAATTCTCATGTATATAAGACAACATCCTCAATGCTTCTATGTTCTTGCTCCCTCACAGACCCTGATAACATGCAAGTCTTCTGACTGGTGGTTTGTGCCTACCTGCTTAAATTCTGGGGTTCATGGGGATACCTTGTCACTTATTTTTGTTGTAGGTGTCATGGGTTTTGACTTCACTATTTCCATTTTTATTTGGAGATTCAGATTGAGAAGATAATGCTGTTGTTGACACCACCTTCCTAGAATTCTACTGAAAATTAAAAATGTTATTAACTCATTCAAAGTCCAAAACCACTTCATGAATTGGTACTATCAGTACCCCCAGGCCACAGATAAAAAGCTTCAATAGTTTGTACAAAATTATAGAATCAGTAAGTTGCAAAACCAGGATTCTAACCCAGATCTTTTAAATTCTAGAGCCTCTATCTTTTATTATGATATTTACAGGACAATTATTCATTACAAAGGAATGTGTTTTATAGAATTCCCGCAAAGTTTGCTATAAAGTGAGAAACATTTCTCTCTTAATTCTTACATGATAAAACTTAACTAATGGTTTGAAAAACTAGTACAAGTCCCCTAATTCAGCAGGTAGCAAAATGATAGGTATAAAATCTTACCAGAGCAAAATTTGCAGTAAACTTAAATCCCTGACTCTCAAATCTCATGAAATCCTCAATGGCAGAACATACTTTATTAAGTAGGTTAAATAAATTTAATTCTGGAAATTAAACTAATGATATCTAATCACTAGAATAGCTGGAGGTGCATGATCATGAATAGGAAAAGAGGCTTCCAAAGTACGCAACCGCTAATAACCTACCTGGCCTGCCTTGTGTAGGTGGAGATACAAATAGAGGCTGTATAGCATTCTGTGAGGAAACTGAAGTGGTAATAATAGCTTGATTAACTGCTTCACAGTTAGATAAGTCTGGAGCTGGAACATTACTGGCACAGGAAGCTGCAACTGGTACAAAAGTTCCCATCACCTGTAAGTGTGGAAGAAAGTTCAAAACTCTAAGTTTGGTTTCTCACACAGTAATAGTTTGTTATCTGATCCTAAACTTCAGAAAATAGTAATTAGTTTTGACAACTAAAACACTGAAAATCAATCTTCATGTAAACCTTAAACAGGAATGTTATTTCTTTCAGGAGATCATAGGTGACTTGAGAGCTTTAATTTTTTAATTCATTTATTTCTAAAAAAGTAATACATTAATATGATTTGAAAATCAAGTATTAAATCGTATGCAATGGAAAGTTGCCCCCCAAGCCCTGTCCTCCATCTGCCTAGTTGCCAGCTCCCAAACAGTTAACCTCTGGGCTTCCTGCATATTATTCCAGAGATTTGTAATATATATTCATTTTTACATGCATATATATGGCCCCCACACAAGCTAAAACCTTTTTTTTTTTTTTTTTTTTTTTTGGAGACAGGGTCTCACTCCTATCGCCCAGCTGGAGTGCAGTAGCATGATTTCAGTTCACTGTAGCTTCCACTTTCCAGGCTCAGATGATTCTCCCACCTCAGCCTCCTGAGTAGCTGGGACTACAGTCATGCACCACCACACCCAGAAAATTTTTTATATTTTTAATAGAGACAGAGTTTTGTCATGTTTTCAAGGCTGGTCTTGAACCCCTCAGCTCAAGCAATCTGCCCACCTTAGCCTCCCAAAGTGTTGGGATTACAGGCATGAGCCACCGCATCTGGTCTACACTTTAAAGAGAAAGGGTGCCTTGCATTTTTTATTACATTATAAGACTGCAATTTTTTTTTCTGCTTACGCAGTAGCTACTTAAGAGAATAAACTATTTTTTCACAACACCCTGCACAGGGATCTGCATAGAAAGATAGTCAATAAATGGTAACGGACTCTTCTTGAACACACTGTCCTCACTGGCAGTCTCCATTTTCTTAACACCCAACTGCAGTGTGGTTGCTACCCACACTGGTCCTCTGCAACTGTATTCAAAGTCACCAGTGGTCTCTATGGCAACAAATCTTAGTAGACTTTTGTTAATCCTTATGTTGCTTGACCTCTTGGCAGCAACTGACACCAGGCTGCTCCTTGAAACATTCTCTTCCTAGGGCTTCCATAATATTCCTCTCTCATGTTTTTACTCCCTCCTTGGCTGTTCCTTCTTACCCATTATCTAAGATTTGACAATCCATAGGCTGTTTCTAGATGCCCTTCTCAATCTCTTCCTTTGCTCAGAATGATCTTGTTTACTTCTATGGTTTCAGCTACCTTTTTAATGCTGATTCTCCATTCTATAGGAAAGCTTTAAAATAAGTTTCCGTTAATGAGACAGAATTGACAGGTAATTTACATTAACTCACTCCTTATGTAAAAGAGGCTCACAGTAGACTATGAGTAATCTAAAGCCAGCACACAGAACAGTGTCTGGAACACAGTAGATATTCAATAATTTGTTGAATGAATTTACTAATCACTGTATCAGACACCAGAAGGTACAATAATACCTAAAGGAACAAAAGCAGTTGCTTTGAAGTATAATGAAGGTAAATGAAAAGAGAAATTTTTTCTCTGTTCAGGCCATTGTAACTGCTTAATAACACTATTAAGATTACCTTCTGGGGGTAGTTGTATGAGGCAACTGTGTCCTGAGGAGACATAGAACATGATTTTCTGTCCTGAAGAGACTTTAATAAATACAAAAATACAGTTAAATAAAAAAAAACCAACATGACAATAAGAAATTTGCTTTGTTTCAACGTATTTTAAAACTAAATGAAAGTGATCAGTCCTGAAATAATGCAAATTTGGAAGTAACGCCTAAGACAAAGCTCTAAAAGTTATCATTCTAAAATGTGATTTAGGGGACTGCTTTGTTACCTATCTACAGAAATCCCCAACACATCTAACTCAAGTCCTAAATGTAGATACTAAAACGTAACTGATAATTGAAATTTAAACACTTTTTCAGTGACCTTTGCCTTAAAACCTTCAAGTACTGTAGGACCAACAATAGTTTTGAAAAAAAAAAAAAGGCATTCTATCTGAATATGTAGCTGGGTACAAGGGTATATTGGTTATTCAGCTACATTTTCTCTAAGTGAGATTTAACAGATATTGTAATATTCAAGTATCATTCTCCTCTGACTCAAGACTGTGTCTTTCTAGAAGCAAAAATGAAATCTGAATGGCTTGGACTCATGCATGATAGCTTGTCGTGGCAGCAAAAACTCTAGCAGCAGAAATTGGTTACACTGATAAGAGCACAGAGAGAACAGGGAAACGTAATCACAGGAAACAACAAGAGGAACCTTACTGTGAAAAAGTGAGCCCCACTTAACATGGACATTCACAAAGTTTGTGTTCAAGTATAGCCAAAGCCCCTGCCAAAAAGCAGACATTTTCCCTGGCTCAGAATACCAAACGCTTCTTGAGAAACATTTAGTTGAGTGTTAGGCATGGAAATAAGAAGCAGAAATAAATGGTCACGATTTCTTAGAAGGCTATGCCTAGATATCTTTATTCAAAGAGTCCTGCTTTGGACAAAAACAAACATAAATAGAAGAGACTTAATTTAAAAAGCTTCTGCACAACACAGAGCAAACAGACAACTCACAGAGTGGAATAAAAATCTTTGCAATCTATCAATCTATACATTCAACAAAGGACTAATATCCAGAATCTACAAGGAACTGGATTCAGCAAGAAAAAAAAAATCCCATCGAAAAGTGAGCTAAGGACATGAACAGACAATTCTCAAAAGAGAATTTTGGCCATACAAATGGCCAACAAACATGAAAAAAATGCTCAACATCACTAATTATCAAGCATATGCTGATAAAACCCACAATGTGGTATCATCTCACTCCTGCAAGAATGGCCATAATCAAAAATATAAAAAATAGATGTTGGCATGGATGTGGTGAAAAGGGAAAGCTTTCATACTGTTGGTAGGAACGTAAGCTAGGGGTTGAGGGATAAAAGACTACGCATTTGGTGCTCAAGTGATGAGTGCACTGAAATCTCAGAAATCACCACTAAAGGACTTACTAATTGTAACCACCACCTATTCTCCAAAAACCTGTTGAAATTAAAAACTAAAAATGAGGTTTTTTAAAAAACGTACACTGGTAATTCTGAAGACATTTCTCCTTTATTTTAGCAATAACAGACATTTGCTATGGATTTGGTGATGGGGGTAGAGGGAGTAGAATATATGAAGAGATTGAAAGCTATTGGGGTTTTTTAAATTCAGAACAAAAAGGAACATGTGACAAGAGAAACTGAAGGAATAGAAAAAAAGCATCTATTCTTGTCTTCCCTCATGGTAAAATTCTTACTTGCCTTTTCACTTGGATGGCTACTTCAAGAAGTAATATCAAAAGCATATGATATGAGAATAATAATGGTGGCAGGAAAAGGGGGAGAAAACTTTCTCTGGAAGGAACAAAGTAAGGGAAGGAGAAAAAACAGAAAGAAAATTACGTATCAGAGTTTTCTTCTCATTCCTAAGGTGTATTGCCTAAACAGTAAAAACAAACATTTAGTATATTAAGATGTCACAGCTAATTATGACTAATTCTCTAATTAGTCATAATTAGAGAATATAAGGTAGTTATTCAAGTTCCTTACAAATATTCCAGTTCTCCTGGATACATGGTAGGACTGCCCTTCCCAGCTCGATCCAAAGTCGGGAATGACCATGTTACTTGGTCAATAAAATATAAACAGAAATGTTATGAGTCAATGTCCAATTTCTGTATCTTTTGCCCTGTTGTGATGATCACGATAGTATGTGTCCATCAGCCTGGGTCCTTAAGTGACTATGAAGAACAGTCATAGTCTGGAAGCCTGCTACCAGCTTGAATTGAACCTATATAACATTAGCAAGCACAACTCTTCCCGAGTTAAGGCACTAAGATTCAGGGGAGTTATTATAGTGCAGCATAACCTAGCTGGACTGAAACAGAAATTGGTAACTAGAAGTAGGGTACGGCTACAACAAAATCCTAATTGAGAAGGAATTATGAACGTGTAGCTCTCAGGGTAAGCAGTTTAGAAGACAGGATGTTAGTATTGTGCTTTGATTACTGTTGGTATGGTTTAAAGCAAGTTATTTTAAGACAACTGTGTGTAGGAGACAATTAGTAGTTTGTAGGCAGGAATGAAAGGGAACAGATTCCTTGCATACAGAGACTCATGGGGTCGAAGGAACAATTGTTTCAACCCTAAACTATAAAGGGTAATATTGACGAATGCTTTGAATAACGGCAACATGAAAACTTAACCTTGTAGTAACTCTTTTGTTAAAAACCCCTGAATGTAATAAGATGTCTCAAAGCCAGAGTTCAACTAAGGGTATAACACCTAGTAAATCCTTGCACTTCAACAAAATGGTTGTAGAAAAGTTTCCAAAAGGCATGGCTCTTCCATCAATGCAAGATAAACTGAAGCCACTTGCAATCAAGCAGAGAAAAATACAAGGATTAAAAACACAAAGAATTATAGCAAGTCTTAGTAGTCTATTTATAGAAAAGAATTGTAGTATGGTTACTGGTACATGAAACCAAAATAAATCAAAAGAAGCAGAATAAATTAATCTCACAGCCAAAGAAATCATGAGCCAAAACTAAAACCATTCAATTGAGATAAAACCATCCTTGGGCCTCCAATTTGCTGTTAAGTAGCAAGCTTAGAAAGCTGCTCAGTTGCTAAGGAAGGATTATTCTCCAATGCCTACTTGAAATATTGCCAAGCAAGGATGGGCCTTGGGAGTAGCCAAGAGCCTCAGAAAATGAACAAGAGAACTCTTCAGGGACGAGTCCCCATGAGTACGTTGGGGGCCCTTAAGGTCTCAGAATTGCTACAGGACAGTAACTGTTTTTTATCCCCCATTTTCCCCCTTTCTGAGTGGGAATTTCAGTGCCTGCTTCAGTATTGTAAACTGGGGAGAGAGGGTTAAAAAAAATCTGTATTTTTGGTCTCAAGATCACAAGAAGCCACATCTGGACCCAATATAATAAGTACTACACACAGCCCAGAAATCTATGGCTATGAGTTTGATTACACTGAATGGGACCTTTTAGGTGCCTCCTTTGAGGTAGAAACAACGGTTCTGCCTATGAGAGAGAGGGCAAGTTGAATGATACAGTTCTTAACACTGTTAAAATGTTTCTAACTTTTTGCCTTTCAGGCACAGAGAAGTTAAACTCTTCAGTGGTACCTGCTCTGGCCAGTTAAATGGAAAAGAAAGTGACATGTATCATCTCTGGTAGAAGCTGTAGAAGCCAGTGCACCATTTACCAAATTTTATTTCCTACCTTAGCAATCATGGACAAACTTCCATCAGCCTGAGTACCTGAGCAAGCCCTTCTATAGACTTCTACCAGCATAAGGGAGAAGCAACCTTTTGTTATATTAAGTGAGATTTATGATCCATTCTAATAAAAAAATCATAACATCTTCTAAAAGATCATTATTGCTGTTAGAATCTCTCTAAATAGATTAATTCCAGAAAATAAGTTAATTTGTCTCAATTTTTTTATCTTCAAAATGAGAATGATACTAAGCTTCACAGGGTTGTTCTGATTTAAATACATTTATATGTATAGCTCTTAACAGTACCCTAGTAAATAGTAGAGGCTATAACTCTTTGCCATTATTAAATACCTACCAAGTTTGCTGTAGATGCAGTTGTGCTATAAACACCTGAAGTTTCATAGTCTGGCTCTAGAGAATATAGCCAAAGTAAAAAAATGAGCATTATTTTATAGCTTGAAATTCTATAAACAATGATGAATGTCAGATCATTTATAGATCTTACTGACCTGCAGGATAAAGATATTCTTCATGATATTCCCCTGGGATAAAAAGACACAAGAATTGTGTTTATATAGGTCTTTTTTAGCTCAGCAGAGCCAAATGGTCAGCACTTGCTTTTTCCTCCAGTTTTATGGTTATATGTTCAAAACTAAAATGCACACATCCTGGAAAGTGAGAGGAGCTTTCAGACTAGTCAACAAATACTGAAGACAGAGATTAGCTGTAAACTTTACAAATCTCACCTCTGAAAATTTGCTTAGCTCTTAGAGGTCAGGCAGAGGTAAAAACTCAGTTGTGCCCAATTTTTCCAGGGAGGCTACAGTGTGGTGATTAAGCACATAGGCTCTGGAGTGAGGATTGCCTAGATGTGAACTGTGATTAACTACATGACTTTAGACAAGTATTTAATCTCTGTGCCTCAATTCTTCACTGTAAAATGGAATAACAGTATCTAGAGCTCATAGGCGTTTTGAGGATGGTTAATAGAAGTGAAAATAACTTAGCATAGTGCTTTACATATACTAAATACTCAATGGCCACTATAAATGGATTATGGATAATGAGTGTAATCCATTGTTTCCTTTGGTGGACATTAAGGGAATATGTTATGCCTCATCTGTTTTTCAATCTGTTTCATGTAAGTAATACATGCAAAATCAGTGTGTCCTCAAAGGATGGCTCAGCAGACTTAAGTATTTTAAGATTTCTGCACCACTGAAATGCAAAGTCAATACTCAATTGGATGGTTTTCCACCAAATATAACCCCACAGTTCTAAAGTAAATTTGATTCTAAAACACACCGCTTATCAAACACACATGCAACTCCTCCAGATTTAAAGTGGGAGCAAAGATTTGGTTATTTCAAATATACCACACTACTCATAGAGCTAAAAGACAAAAGGGTCATGTAAATAAGAGCAGACAGTAAATGTCCTTAAACACATATATGCACACATGTACAAAGTTTTCACAGATCATTCTTGTACTAGATTTTTTCACTTATTACATTCCTAAAAATATCGATTTTTGTCTACACTAGTAACAAAAAAAATACCATAAGAAAATAAGGAACTTATTAATAAGTTATTCGGAATGCCTCAAGCTACTCAATGCTCCACAATTATTACAATAGGCACATACAGTATCTTTTAAAAGTAAAAATAAACACATTCCATGGTAGGAGGCAATATAAAAAAACTGTTAAGGTATGTGTGTGTGTATGATTCCAATTATATAAAATGTCCATAGGAGGCAAATCAATAGAGAAAGAAAACAGATTGGTGATTGCTAAGGGCTGGGGACTGGGAGAAATGGGGAATGGCCCTAATGGGCACGGGGTTTCACTACTGTGGTGATAAAAATGGCCTAATATTAACTGTGGTGATGGTATGCAACTCTGAATAAAAACCATGGAATTGTATACTTTAAATAGCTGAAATTGTATGATATGTAAATTATATCTCAATAAAAGAGTTACAAAAAATTATATCTCTGCCATTTACCAAGGATATGACCTTGGCCATGTCATTTACCCTCTGAATCTCAATTTCCTCATATGTAAAATAGGGATAGCACATTCCTCAGAAGAACACACGAAGGACTATACTATGAATATAATGACTTAGTAGAATGGGTATCACATAAGGTTCAATAAAGAGTAATGTTTATAGATTAAATAGATTTATTTTGGCAAAGAAGTTACTTCATAGCAGTCTTAAAAAATAATAGCCAGTCACACAAAAAGCCTAATGTAGTTATACAAATGGTGAGGGCAACTATAAATAGTGCCTTACTAATAAGGAATAGATTTTCCCATAATGATATCTGACATCAAGTCAAAACTCAATAAAGACCTAGGCAGAGAGCTGAAAACAAGTTATAACAATGTAGCAGCCTATTGAAATAGAAGTCCATTCTTCTTGAGAAATACCAGGACATGTTCAAAACCCAGCAAGCAATAAGAACTTATATAACTCTTTCCAAACTATGCTACTGGAACAGAGACCCCAAAAACAAATTGGTCTACTTCACTGCCCTGATGTGCTAATGCCACAAGAATCTTTTAAAAAATATTTAAATGTTACTGACTCACCATTTTCACTCTGGCCATTGCCCTCCTCTAAATTCAAAGCCTGTTTGCCCGAGCTATGTCCCCGCCTTCCAACACAGTATCCTGAAGTAGCAGGAACCATTGAAGAGGGACCTCCATGATTCTGTATCAAAGAGACACATACACACTGTAGTTCTCACTATAGAGTCAGGAAAAAAAAAAAAACAGCTAGAGGAATGTTTTAAAATGCACTTAAAAAAACTAGCCTAACAATGTGAACTAATGTTGTAAGAGAACTCCGTAATTAAATGTTTTCCATGCACTTTAGAATACAAAACATATGAAGTAATCATCAAGAAAATAGAAAATATCAACCCATACTATATAGGGAGATTATCAGTCTACCTCTACTTCCTTCTCTAGGAACAGGTGGGAGAAAATGTCTCTTTTCTCATTGTCATTTTCCAGAAAAGCCTTGGTTTATCTGTACAAAATCTAAAATTTATCCACATTGCCTTTACTTCAAAAAAATAAATGAAACAAGTAAACAGCTTTTTGAGTAAAGCTTTGATCCACTCACAGGTAAAGTTGGATAAGCAGTCTCATCCCCTTCTTCAACTTCATAAAAAGTAATCGTTTCTTCCAAGCCCCTGGGCATTTGTCCATTCCCTGAAGCAAATCCATACTGGGACTCCTTATTCATACAACTCATCTGGCGGTGACTACGTCTAAATGAACTTAAGTGGTTCAAATAATTAAAAAGTAGAAATGATGACATATAGTAACTTCTTCCTAATTTACAAATAACAGTTCGAATATCTCAAAGTTGATGCTTTTTAAAACATTAATGTTCAGCAATGAAATCAGGCTTACCCACTTTCTCTTAACACAACACTTACCGAGATCTGTAAGAGAAGTTATCATAGTTCTGGCAGCACCTTTTACCTGGGCCTGGGTAAAAACCAACTTTAGGGCCCGGCATGTTGTGCCTGTTTATAAACCAAGACGAATTTCTAAGAATAAAGGGAAAGGAAAATAGAATTCTCTATTCACTAATCCTAAGTAGTCAGTCTGTAGTCAAATAGAACTAACCCATCTTTCTAAATACATTCAACTAGAAAGAGCTCTGCTCTCTGCAATACTGGCATTAAGACTATCTATCATTAAGGAAATACAATCCGTATGTCACACAGACACTCATCTCGATGGCATTCTATATTCTTATATCTCTTCAACTGCTTCATATTTCCCTAGACAATGAAAATACAAATCTATCAACATTTTACCTGGGCATCCCATATCCTCGACCTTGTCTTGGAGATGGATGTTGAGGATGAAAATGTTCATTAGACATAACATCGCCAGCTGTCGAGTAGTGCATTGGAGGATCATGCCCATAATGCATACTGTGCTGTAGCCTGGGTGGGAGGAGGGGGTCTCCCTTGCTGTAAGCCATAGTCATATATACTTCTTTCCCTCGAACTTTCTTGAACATCTTCTTCTGTTGCTTCATGTCCATCTCTGATAAAACTTTCAGGCAAACAAAGAAGTAGCAAATAAACTTCATAACCAAAGCAGAAGGCCCAGTGTACTGTTACCACCACACTGCCTTAAAATTTCCAATGCTTCCCCTAGGAACAAACCAAATAAATATAGGAAGGGAATTTTTGTATTTTTGAAGGATATGCTAGATCTTTTATTTGGAAGGGCAAAACCAGCAGGTAATTTCTGTATCAATAGGTATATCTCGGCACTATCCCCAGTATGGGCAGGTTAGTATAGGTAATCAAAACACTGAGTTATCTATGGCCGGGCATGGTGGCTCATGTCTGAAATCCCAGCACTTTGGGATGCCGAGGCAAGTGGATCACTTGAGATCAGGAGCTTGAGAACAGCCTGGCCAACACGGTAAAACCCCATTCTCTACTAAAAATACAAAAACTAGCCGGGCATGGTAGCGTGCACTTGTAATCCCAGCTACTTGGGAGACTGAGGTAGGAGAACTGCTTGAGCCCAGGAGGTGGAGGTTGCAGTGAGCCAAGACTGCACCAATGATTCCAGCCTGGGTGACAGAGTGAGACTCCTTGAAAACAAAACAAAACAAAACAAAACAAAAATAAAAATGAAAATACTGAGTCATCCAATCACATACATTACTTTTCTCTAATAAATTATGCCTGTTAATATCCCTGGCTGCTTCTATGAAGGGTTTTGCTAGTTCTCTAAGAAATATTTTGCCCTGAAGTTTTAGAGTCTAAGATCAATGTCAGCTTAAGTTTTTTAAATTAATTTTTATAAGTGCAGAACAGTAGGTTATGGGATACATGCTGTATTTTCATACAAGCATTTGATCATTTGTGTAATAATCAAATCGGGGTAATTAGGATATCTATCACCTCAAATATTTACCATTTCTTTGTGTTGGGAACATTCTAAATGCAGTCCTCCAGTTATTTTGAAACATGTAATTATTAACTATAATGACCCTATTACACTACCAAATATTAGATCTTAATTCTACTATCTATTTTTGTACCCACTAACTAATTCCTCTTTATCCCCAATCCTCACCACCCTTCTGAGCCTCTGGTAACCATAATTCTACACCTCATCTCCACAAGATCAATTTTTTTTTTCCTTTTTAGCTCTCACATATGAGTGTTTAAGTTTACACAAAGTCCCTTAAGAACCATGGTTCTCAACCAAGGACAATTTTAACTCTCCCTCCCCTAGGGAATATTTGGCAATGTCTGGAAACATTTTTGGTTGTCACATTGGGCAGAGGGTGCTATTGACATCTAGTAAATAAGAAGCCAGAGATGCTATGAAGCATCCTACAAGGGACAGGACAGCCCCCCAACGATGAAGTAGTATCCATTCCATTTTCAGTAGTGCTGAAATTGAGAAAATCTACCCTACAACAAGACATATTACATACCTTTAAAAAATAGTACAATGTAGGTAAGTTAAAGGGAGTGCATGAAGGGGGAAAAAAAACGCTTTAGCATACAAACCTATTTCTGGGATATATCCCCCAGGCATTTTCTGGTAACCTCTTCCTTTACGACTGGGCACAGCATTCCAGGCAGAAAAAGGCATCACTTGGGTAACTGGTTTTAAGTTAGCCAGTGGAACAATGTGCCTTAAAAGTTAAAGGTATCACCATGAAGATATTGCAACACAGACTTAACTCTCATTCAAAATATGTATCCCACCCCTTATACTTCAAGTGTATTCTATTAAAAGCTGGTTGACAACAGCTTCCCCTTTTTTTAGGTTAGAAAACCTAAGAGTAGTTTTTACAATTTCACTGCTGTTTCTAGTACCGATCACATTTCAGAAGAAAGACTGGTAGACTATATTAGTTCACACATATTTGCTGTACCTCCTGGGAGAATTATATTCCCCTACCCCATTGACATGAGGCTTGGCAATGTAAACCACTCTGGTCAATAAAATATGAGACATTTTAAGATCCAGAAAATGGTTTGTTATGTTTTCATTTTATTCCCTGACTATGACCATGGAAGCACATGTTAAAATCCAATCTCTGTTAGACCGGATCCCATCTGCTGATCCACTATGGACATGCTAAATGAAGGAGAAAGGACATTATTGTTTTAAGCTGCTGAGATGTTTTGGTTGTTAGGGCAGCATAGCCTTATTCATGATTCTCAAAGTAAACCAGCAGCATTAGCATCACCTGCAAACTTGTTCAAAATTAAAAGTCTTGGGTCCCACCTCAGACTTACTGCATCAGAAACTTTAGAGACTGGGCTCACTAATTTGTGTTTTCACAAGCCCACCCGGTAATTCTGGTGCATGGTAAAGTTTGAGAAAGACTAGATTAGCTTATCTCTATACTGGCAGAGGCTCAGTTAGTAATCCAACTTTCCAATTACTATGAACAGTTTTGTTTCAGAATTCTATTGTACTTAGTATTTCTAATAAGTAGGCTAGTGCCTAAGATTTGAAAACTTTTATACATATCTAATACCTATATTGAGATTTCATACTTCAGCACATGCTTTTATAATTCAAGGTAAGTCACCCTAGGCCAATACCAGATAAAATTCTGATTATCTTACTAGCATCCTGGTAATTCTCTATTTAATATTACAAAATGGAAACAGGAACCAAAGATTTTAGTAATTCAAATTATAATATTCCTACCTTTCGGCCAGTTCTTCAATGAAAACTGTTACTGAATTGTTCTCATTTCCAACTTCCTGGATATGAGCATTATAATATCTTCCATCTGATTCCAAGCAAACCTGTAAAGAGAATACATCTAGTCTCAAGGCTAGTGACAGATATGGCTACTGCCAAACAAAATACCACTTTTTTCCAAATGGAGTTCAGTGTCTACTTTTTAAAGTTATTCATATCAACACTGCCAGTCTGGATGCATGGAGGAAGCACATACTGAAAGAACCTTAGATCTAATCACCAAATTTGTAATTGTAACACAAACATTAAAAAAACATTTTTTTCAGCTGGGTGTGGTAGCTCATGCCTGTAATCCCAACACTGGGAGGCCAAGGTGAGGGGATCACTTGAGGCCAGGAATGAGACAAGCCTGGGCAACACAGGGAGACCCTGTCTCTATAAGAGAAAATAAAAATTAAAGAAATTAGACTGGCATGATGGTACGTGCCTGTAGATCCAGCCACTAGACAGGCTGAGGTAGGAGGATCATTTGAGCCCAGGAATTCATGAGCCACGAGCATCCCACTATATTCCAGCCGAGACAACAGAGCTAGACCCTATCTCTTCAGAAAAACAAACAAAGCAAAAAAAAAGTTTCTAGTACTTTGTAAATAAGTCTTGCTCAACTCATATTATGGCTGCAAGCACATTCTTAAACAAATTACTGATTCTTGAAGAAGGAACTAACCTGACACTTGTCTCCCAAATAGTACTGTCTCCCAGCATACTCCATGTAATCAGATTTTTGAAGTTCTATTAAAAGAAATGAAGATTCAAGCTCAACCGTACTGTTTCGTTTCCTATATCATTTAATTTCCTCATTTACTTTTACCATAGTACCTTTGACAGCACTACCATTATAAGTGAAAATAGGGGTAAAGTTCCAAAGGGCCAGTCTATCATTCTTGATGGGTTATTTCTGCAGCCAATTTAAAGAGACCTTCCAAAATAATTTTGTGCTTTAAAAAATAAATAGGTGGAAATTGGGAGTTTGTAACCTGAGACAGTAAAACACTAAAGGGGTACAATTTGAAAATAACAGTATTCAGCTTCTTCAAATCAATCTTTTCTTTTTTAACAACATACTGTGTTTCCCAAGGTCTTAACCTCATTCTAGATTGTCTCTATAAGAGACATTAGCTAGGTTTTTCAGGGTTCAAGGAGTGGAATGTGAAATATTAAAGTCTCATCTTGAAGGCAAAACTTTAAGGCCTAGGTTGATCACTTTAGATATTTTATAAGGAGAGAAACAATGACCTATTTCATGGATTGGTAAATTTTTTCTGCAAAGAGCCAGAAAGTAAATATTTTCAGTTTCTTCGGCCATAACTACTACTCAGAACTACTCAAACTCTGCTGTAAAATTTCATGAACACTGAAATTTGAATTATATAATTTTCATGTGTCACAATATGTTATATATGTTATTCTTTTAATTTTTTCTGGTGTTTAAGAATTAAAGACCATTCTTAGCTCATGGACCACACAAAAACAGTTGGTGAGTTAGACTAGTCCACAGCCCTAATCTACTGATTTATCAAAGAAGTTGGTCGTAACACATGAAATTTAAGATGAGCCTGTTTTCCACTCATTAAAAGTTTCATAAGGCTATCTAAAGATTATCTCCACATAGTCTTTGCAAAGTTGAAGTCCCAGGCAAACATCAGACTCTAAAAGATCCCTGCCACTTCTAAAGCTGTGTTCCCTCCTTTGGATTTAAATCATATATGGAGTAAGATTAAAAGTACCAGGCTGATTTTATAACAGTATTTCTTTTAAGAGATGTTCAACATAATTTGCAAAATTAGTCTCTTAGATTCAAAGTATCCTGTTGATATTTCATTACCTTTTCTGCCGTCCAACCAAACATCAAACTCTACATTACGATAGATTTCTGGATCCAGGGCTTTCAGCACCTTATAGGGGAAGGGCATCTTTGATGCATTTTCTGGAGACTAAAACAAAAATAATCGTGCTACAAACTCACAATCCTTAGTCTTACTTCTATGAAGAAGGAAGAATTAAGGTTCTTTCTTCTTAAAAAAAAAAAAAGTACATGTTGTTCTGTATTAAAACAAGAAATAAATTGCATGATAAATTTTGCCATATATTTTAAAAATCAGGAGACTACAGTAGTAAAATGCAAGTAACATTCAAGGTTTTAGATGGCAGAAGGGAAATAATGTCTAAAGCAGGCAACAACTCAGGTCACATCCCATATAAACCAATGCAACACGAACCAGGATTAAAAATTCAAAGCTATTCAGGAAGTATCATCATGATATACACATGGAGGTACAAGTATTTCTGTACTCTAAAATCCCCTGGAAATATCTGAAGTTTAATTCGTTTTGTCAAATCCTGTTAAAATTTCCAAAGAAACTACCACTTTTCTTCTGCTTTCCTAGAATTTCACTATATTCAATACTATTCCAAAATTACAAGCACCTCAGGTATACACAGAGATTGCTATAATAGTATTTGCCTTGTTTAGTTAGCCTCAAACTGAAGGCCTATTTGATTTTAGTCTCATAGGAATGGTAAAATTTCTCCTGTTTCTCCCACTTTAAACTATGATTATCACCTCGTTTGAACAAAATAAAGATAGGCATTGAATTTCTTCATGAAAAAATCCTTAGCATCGGAAGACTAATTACAAATTAAATATCGGGTTTGTAATATTTAGCTTAAAAGCATATTGCTCCTGAAATTTCTGAAGTGTTCAGTTTCTTCTGAGAAATCCAAAATTCCGTAAGAATAAGAATTCAAATAACATTAAGCACACATTTAAGTTTAAAGATAGGTAACACTTTCACAAAAGAAAATGACCAACTCGTCCCTCAACCCATATAATTAGAATATACTATCTGACTTTAACTAGTTTAAGTCATGATGCTGCAAGCCAAGAGAATGAAAATTCTTTGCCTTAGAAAATATCAAACCTTGGTTTCTTCTGTTCCTTTATTGTAGCCCTCTGGTATATTTTCAGCATTGCAGCAAGCACCCCACTCTTCCATCCTAATTCAAAAGATGTAAAGCAAAGAGCTTTTTATAAATGTAGTAGTTTCTTATCTTAAGCCTAACAACTACACCACCACCTAGTGGTAAATTAATTCAGTTCCAAAAATGAGGCCAATGCTTTCTCATCCCAACATTTGCATTTATGGTTCCTTTTTATAAGTATGTGCTACAACATATTTAGCAGATTACCTCCTATATTTTACAACTCCTGTGAGGACACACTCATAAGGTTATCCCTATGATCCCTGCCTCATCCATTTTACCGGTCTCTCCTCTGCTAACTATAAGAAAGCAAGCAGCCATGTTCACCACTGCAATGTAGCAAGGAGCTGAGGGTTACTTCTGGCCAACTGACAGCAAAAACTTGAAGCTCTCAGTCCTATAGCTCAAAGGAACCGAATGCTGCCAGGTACCATGAATGGGGAAGTGGATCCTTCCTCAGTCAAAGCTCCAGAGAAGAACTCAGTCCTGATCAACATTCTCATTAGTCTTATGAGACACTCAGCAGAAGATCCAGCTGAGCCATGACCATATTCCTAATCCACATAAATTGTGAGAAAAGTGTGCTGTTTTAAGCTGCCAAGTTTGTAGAAGCAGTGTTACACAGCAATAGATAACTAATACACCTTGACTTCTTACTACTGTAGTTTCCGTAAGCCTAAAGTCCTTAAGACAAGTAATCAGAAGTAATCAGTGAAGAACAAAGCAATCTTTACCCTAATACCTGGTTGCCAATCCTGGCAGTCCCAAATAAGCTTTAAAAACCCTCCCCACCCCCGTCACACACACATACATGAAAAAAAAATCACTTGGAAGCTTTAAACATCCAAGAAATAGAAATGCAAGACACAAATCACAAGGTGACACTTACCTAGCACCAAACCTATCTGAATTTGCAGGCCGAACTAGGAATCAGAAGAAATATAAGACATCTACTTTATTATCTCAAACCCAAAGTGTTCAACTAGAGCTGCTAAATAGTTGTTTCCTCAGAGGCACACAATATGTACTCACAGTGCATACCAAAGGCAGATACGCAAACACTCCTAAAACTTAGACTGAGAGATTTTCTACTAGCTGAATGTGTCAAGTAACCAATGAACCTCAGTTGTTATCTAGAAAATGATGGTGCTACTTTAGAATCAGCATTTTCTCAAAGTATGGTCCATAGCCTACCTACATCAGAATGCTTAGGCACACTTGTTTAAAAAAGATTCCTGGTCCCATTCTGACCTCAAATTTTGTGACAGTAGGCCCAGGAATATGTCTTTCTGACAAATACTTTAATTCTTATACAACTAAAGTTTGAGAACCATGTAATTAGATAGTTCTGAAGTTTCTTCCAGCAATACAAAACGACTTGAACAAAACCCCCAAAGTCTGGGCATCTCACAATACATCTGTTTTGGCAAAACTCTCCCCCCATCAAAAATATATATCCTTAATATATGTGTATGTGTGATTATGTAATCTAACTCACAAGTTTGCCAGGCCCCTTCTACTTTCAAATGATTATACACAGAAGTACAAAACATAATTATGATGATATCCCTTTCCCTTTATTACCTATTCTGATTTGAACTCTTGTAGACAGTATTGGCATCCTCACTCCCAGTCACAGCATTATTTCTGTTCTTCTTAGAACCACTTCGAAACAATTTAATTGCAGTTTTCAACTCTTCTTCATCCACAACAAATACATCTTTATAGAGAATTTCGTATAATACAGCTGAAGGAAAAATGGCCAAAATTCCAATTGTCAAAATAAGATTTATATTAACTACATGAAAACAGTCATAATCCTATGTGCAAATTTAATAGGTACCAACAAGTCTTTAAAGGGGGCTATTCATGGTGGGTCCCTGAAATTAAAGAGTGACAAGTCATCTGAAATCACACCCAAAATTTATAACGCCTTCACATACCCTGACAAACAGCTGCACTTGACTGAAATTGTTTTGAGTACACAGAATCATAGTGACCACTACTTGAATAGCAGAGTAGAATCTAAAGAAAAACACACAGAATAATTAAGTGAATGTTATACATCTTAAAACCATGAAATTAAGATGATAAATAAGTTGAAATTGAGTCAGTAGGCAGCGATTGATAACTAACCGAATTTATTTTTTTAAAAGTGATTTTTAAAATCTAAATATAAGGAAATACAACCTGTATCTCATAGAGATTTTCTTGGCAGTGACTTTTAAATGCCAAAATTAAAATCACTACTAAGGTTACACTGTGAGCCTCAATCACATTACTTTAGTATACCAAAAAAGTCCTGATTTACGAATTTGCAAAATAAAAAAATGAACACTTAGAAATTGAGTTACTGAACATAACAGAAAGACTAACAGATGCCAAAAGACTTAGCTAACTTCTAAGAATGACTGGAGAAATTAGGTCAAATACTCAAATACTCTAAACTCAGACTAAGGGAGGAAAGGAATATTATTCAATTATTTTAAGTTATCCATTTAACTTAATAGCAATATATCAATACACTATATAGCATCAATACTGCTAGAGAGACTTCCTCAATGAATTAAGGCACATCTCAGGCTACAAAAATGAGAGTTTAAGGTCTTAGCTGATTCCTTGAATTCCTAAGGTTTTTTTTTTTCCCCAATTCAAAGGTCATGCTTGTTAAGCAAAATTTGTTCAGTCGAAATGTCGCATGTGATGAAATTTGTTTATGCAACTGTTCCAAAGTTTTCTGAGTCTTTGCTAAAAAAAAAAAAAAAAAAAAATCTGTCTTAGCCATGTTGGGTAACGTGGGCCAGTAGTCTCAACTACTATGGCAGGAGAGTCACATGAACCCAGGAGTTTGAAGCTGTAGTGTGCTATGACCTCACCTGTGAAGAGCCACCGTACTCTAGCCTAGGTGACAGAGTGAGATTCCTCTCTCTTAATAAAAAAACAAAAATTCTGTTTTATATAAGGGATATGATCCCTAGTAATTAAGGTTCTTCCATTTTGAAGGTATCGCAAACTGAGTTACTCAAGACGATTCTGCAATCTGTGAAAAGATGCTGCCACCAAGCCTCCTTGGCAGAAACAATTATCCTAAGCATTCTTTTTTTTTCTGTCTTCCTACTCTTCCCTGGGCTAACTTCTCCTAAATATCAAGTTATTTAATCCCATGTCTATTATTCTTCACTTGTCTTTTTGGAAATCACACTTACTAACTCTAAGAAATGTTAATAACTGGAGGCAGTTATGGAGGGAGAAACTTACAACTTAAGTTGTAAGTTGTTAAGAAGCAGTTGTTAAGAAGTAAAGGAATCCAGTTAACCAGAACTGATGAATAAGCAGTTCTTACAGAAAGAAAACAGACAACCATATAATTTCTCTATTCAGGTGACAACAAGATCCATTTTGCCTGGAAGAGGCAAAACAAGGCATGGTGGCTTTTATGTTTCTGGTGGTATTCCAATGTGAAATAATAATTCTCTCATACATACTTGTGGGTGGTTTGGGAGTGGGCAGGTGGGATATAATTAATGACAGTAAACTAGTGAAAAAATGGGGTAGATCTATATTACTGAGAAGGATATTTAAAAAGAACAAGTAAAAATGTTAAATATGAGTCCATCTATACTTAAAAGACAAACACAAAGAGAATGATACAGAAATATAATCACCAATATTTAATAGTTTGTTACTTTGAAGTGTGTAAGACTGAAGAAGATGAATGTGGACTTTCTTAGTCTACATTTTCAAACTTTTTATTTTGTTTTTAATATTAAGTATGTAATTCTATCTAGATAAAGTCAGCTGAGTGAAGAGGGCTTGATTTCAGTAGCATTCATTTTAATACTGAATACACTTAAGAAACTGAAGATAACTACGTAGAATGAAGAGTTAAGTCAACACAGAAGGTAAAAGACACCAAAGTGAATATTATGCATTTATTTCTATGAAAGTTGGTTCTAAAATATTTTAGAAGGCTCATTAATAATGTTCACTACCTATAATAAAGTCATTTTATTTATTTAATTATTTGTTTTTGAGATGGAGTTGCTCTGTCACTCAGGTTGGAGTGCAGTGGTACAATCTCAGCTCACTGCAACCTCTGCCTCTCGGGCTCAAGCGATTCTCCAGCTTCAGCCTTCCGAGGAGCTGGGATTACAGGCATGTGCCTCACGTTTGGCTAGTTTCTATATTTTTAGTAGAGACAGAGTTTCACCATATTGGCTGGGTTGGTCTCAAACTCCTGACCTCACGTGATTCGCCTGCTTATGCCAGGATTACAGGCGTGACCCACGACACCCGGCCTCATTTATAAAAACTCAATCCTGATGCCAATCTTAAGAGTGTGAACTGAGATAAAGCAGCAAAGTTTTAGGTAAAGCAAAGTATCACAAAATAAAAGCACTGGCTTTTCCATACTTATATTTCAATACAAGCGATGCCTCCCTATTTATAAATTCCCAAATCAGACATATATAGGCATTATCCTATATATGCAAATACCCAAGTGCTGCTAAGTTTTAGCTCTGTATACACATGTGGATATTTGTTGGTTGTACACACTTAAAAGGTCTGACATTTTTGTATTCTCATGGTTCCCAATAGGTAATGTTCCCCTAGATTAGCTAATTAATTTCTCTGTAAGATATACAAGACATTTAAAAGTGGAATTGTATAATCGTAGAAACTAAGTGGGAGATATATGGATGTTCACTACATGAGTCTTTAAACTCTGTATGAAAAATTTCAGAATACAATGTTGGTGGAAAAAAACTGATCTAAAAGTTTAAAGATCCCTGGTAAAGATTCAAATTTCATCTCAAGCAATTTTGTGTACAACTGTTTAGATACAAAAGCTAACACTCTTCTTCAAACAATTCAGATTATGTCACACTTTCGCCTAAAAAGTTCCCATTAGTGATTAGGGTCAAGTGTGCTGGTGTCTGAAATTTACTTTAAACTACTTCAAAAAAGAAAAGTGAACTGCTGAATGGATTGAGGAATAGATATGTGATAATACTAAGATGTTAACAGCAGACTCTAGGTGTGGGTAGGTATATGGATGCTCACTGTAAAATTCTTTTAACTTTTCTGTATGTTTGAACATAAAATGTTGGGAAAAGTTTTAATTGACTATTCTGTACAACGAAAAAACAAGTCATTTGGCATGGCCTGCTCTACCTCTTCTTATGTAACTCTGGCCTATCTTTCCAGCATCACCCTCCTCACACCCAACTACTTAAGTCCCAAAGGGTCTCTTACTTCCATGCCCCTGTATATAGTGTTTCCTCTGAATAGACTGCTCTTCATACTTGATGGACTCTTTTATACCCCACTTAAATGTCACTACCATTATGAAGCTTTCTCAACTCCCTCAAGCAGAAAGAAGGGTTTGTTCCTTCATGCTTTTAGTACAATGTTTTTATTATAAAACTTAATATTTTATTGTAATTAAACCTTTCCAGGTCTGTCTTGATTGCCCCTTAAGCTCTTAGAGGGCAAAGATTTCACTGTATTCATTTTGGTGTCCCCAAAGCTCAGAAAAGAGATAATTAATGTACCCCATTTATACTTATCCTCTAAGTTATCTCCCACTCAGTCTTTTCTATTCCTAATGCTACTTCTCCTTAGTTCAGTTATTCCCCCTCAATTATCATAACAGCATCCTAACAGTTCTCCTGATGTCTAGTATTGTCTTGTCATCATTAAAATGTTGTCTAAATTGTGTTCCATGTTGTGAAATAAGGCTTAAAAAACTCAAACACTGTGTAGTCTATATTTCACTAATCAAATAATCAGGATAAAGGGCTTTTCTTTTATAAACTTTTTGGAGGAGAAGCTGTATGGTGAAAACAATTTGTCTGCTGAGTATTTTCAACAACCAAGTACTTTACCAGGCAGTAGACACTGTCACTTCCCTCAAGAAACTTTCAGATAATGAAAGAAGTACATATAAAAACAAATACAATATAATAAATACTATAATTACTTGGGAGCTGCTAAGGGAGCACAAAGGGAGAAAATGACTCGAGGGGCTTTGGGAAAGTTATAAATACAAAGACACAAAGTATGAAAGGCAGAATATCTGGAAGCACAGCATAAAGATGGAAGACAATGAAGCTGGTTTGGGACCTTTCAGGATGCTGAATGCCTAACTTTGAAGTTTGAACCTGATCCTTTTTTAGTCACTGAGGAGCCTATTAGGGTTTTGGGTGGCTTTTTTCCTATCACAGAGAAGTGACAATCAGATCTGTTTAGAGGGATAACACTGAGAATAACTGACTAGAGAGGAAAAGGCTAGTGACAGAGAATCTTGTCATTCAGACTATGATTTTCATTAATTAGGTTAAAAATGATTTCTTAATATCCTGGCAACCCAGAAGCATCATTCAACTTCTTTTATATAAGTCAACATTCACTCATCTTCTTACCTTGTCTTCATAGCCATTATCTGTGACATAAGTTGGAGGTTTCCAGGAAAGCGATAAAGAATGAAATCCCGACTACATGGGGAAAACAAAGGTAAGTGGCAAGACATAATTTGGTATATATCTCTTATATATACATGCCTTTAAATTGCCTACCTTATTCATATAAAATAATATAAACATCTGGTTTAATGTTTGGCTTTAAAATAATCCAAAAAGGCTAAATGATATTAATTCAAGGTAGACAACTAATTACCCCTGAAGTCTTATGGATTTTTTTTTTTAAAAAACATATCTTAATTTGGGAGGAGGAGGGGTAAAGACAACAAATTATCAATTGTATGTATCTCTGTGAGTTGGGGGATGGTGGTGCTCTTTATTGAAAGCAGGGGTTGGCAATTTTTTCGCAAAAGGCTAAATAGGCATTCCAGCTTTTGCAGACTGTATGGTTTATTCAACTTTGCTTTTGTAGCATGAAAGCAGCCACAGACAATGCATGAGTGAATGAGCATGACTGTGTTCTAATAAAGCTTTATAGACACTACAATTTGAATTTTATATTTTTCCATGCCATGAAACATTCTTTTGACTTTTAAACCATTTAAAATATTTTAACACTCTTTCTTAGCTTAGACTTCTTCATTCCATATATCAATGCATCAAATCTTAAATCTCCACAATCCTGAGACACCTTTAATTGAGATCTTATACATACATGCATGCACACATCCACTCTCAAAGAACGAGGATATAACTTACTTATAAATTAGAGAAAGTGCTCTTATTTCCAGCTGGCCAGCACTTTCCTAAACATAAATAGTACATAAAGTTTTAAAAAACAGTCTGTAGCTAGGAGGTAGTTTTTTTTTTTTTTTAAAGTTCAACAATTTTTTAGCTGCTTAGCACTGCTTTAGATGAAGAATTTGTAGAACACACTATAACCTGTTTTGAGGCTTGGAATACTGTGATAGCTACTCATTAACATAAACTTGTCCTGAAAAAGAGGACCTAAAGCCCTACTTAGACAGCCATTAAGTAATAAGGACAGGTAATATGAGAGATTTTAAAAATACAAAAATGGATAAAAAGGCAGTATTAAAAGGGAGCAGGGATTTAGTAAATGTGTTTTAAGTCCAGAACTATGGAATTAACTTTATCACATAAAAATTATTTCTAAATAAAGTATGTATATATGAATTTTAGTCCCACATAAAAGGAAGACAACTACAAATCAGGGGAATTGTCTAATAAAAAGAATGACCTCTTGGTAAAATTAATTACCACCCTCCTCCCCCATTAAAGTGAAAAGGCTTAAGCTTGTCCTGTTTCCAAGTAGGGTATACTTTTTTGCTAGTCTATGGTTGATGGGACTGTTAATATACAATCATCAATATTCAACACCAAACAATAGGTCAATTGCCAGCCTCTAAACTTATGCAAGAAATATTGGATTCAACACAGCTGGCTATGAAAGAAAAAGCTTGGTGTCTGGCTAAAATGATACAGCTGAATGAATAAATTTACATTACTATTCCAAATAACTCTGAAAGATTAAACCCCCATATTTGATCTTACCTTGGGATTTCCCAGCCGTTCCAGGTATTTCTCAAAAGATCCCTCCACATACTTCAAAAATAAAACAAACTCGACTTAACCAAATACACAGCATTACTGAAATATGATTATATTCTGCAATATTATCCTGCAATGGGTTCTTTGCTCAGGTCAACAATTATGGCAGTAAGTTTCTACTCTGCACAGCACCTCAAGAAGATTTGCACATACACAAAACTCATTAGGGGAGAAAAGCTAGAGTATAAAAAGTATCTTAGGAATTGGTCCTGGCATATCCACATACCAGTGCATTTCATCAAATGGTATGCTTTTGAATTTCATTTGAAATGCCAATTTAAGTGATAATTTTCATAAATCAAGCAAGATCAGTATTTCTAAGAATTTCAAATTTGAATAGACATGCATTTACAAAATTAAACTGAGAAACTTTAAAGAGAATTTCATTAGTTTCAAAAAAGACCATGGGACAAGGGAACTTTTTAGGGGTGATGGAAACATTCTCTATTTTGATTGCAGTGGTAGTTCTATGATTGCATATCATCTACAAAACTAAAAATGCCAAACATAAAATGGTGAGTTTTATTGCATGTAAAATATGCCTCCATAAAAATGAAATTAAACTCAGGGAATGTAACAGATTTATTTCTAATTCCATGCATGCATTATCACCAGACTTATAAAAAAATCATTTAAATATATCTATTCTGTAAGTAGCCTTGCACCCCTCTATAACTGATATATAACCACTGATCTGCTTTCTGTAACTATAGATTGCCTTGTATTTTTTCTAGAGTTTTATATAAGGGAAATTAAACAGTATAAACTTTGCAAGGGGTCTGGCTTCTATCACTTAGTATTAAATTGAGATATGAATCTCAATTATTTAGTTTTAAAATTTTACACACATCTTTGTTACTCAAACTGTTGTCCACAAACCAATAGCAAGCATTACTTTAGACTCTGTTCAAAATGCAGAAATCTCCACTGAACACAGTGGCTCACACTTGTAGTCTCAGCACTTCGGGAGGCCAAAGCGGGGATATCACTTGAGCCCAGGAGTACGAGACCAGTCTGAACAACATGGTTAAACCTCATCTCTACTAAAAACACAAAATATTTAGCCCAGCAAGGTGGCAGGCACCTGCAGTCCCAAGTTATTCGGGAGGCTGAGGTGGGAGGATTGCTTCGGCCTGGGAGGTGGAGGCTGCAGTGAGCCATGATCCTGCCACTGCACTCCAGCCTGGGCAACAGAGTGAGACTTTGTCTCAAGGAGGGAAGAAAAAAAGAAATGTTGGGCCCCAACTCAAACCTACTGAATCAAACCCTGCAGTTTAACAAGATCTCCAGGTGATTTGTATGCACAAAAATACTTGAGACGCACTGCTTTACACTATGGTCTTGCATTTGAAGTAATGTCACTAATAATCTTTTCCCCAGGTGTAGAGAAGACTAAACTCAGCTTCAAGGCAACAAGCTTTGAAGTCAAGAAGTCTTCCCATAGTTTTAAAATTCACTGAAACCTGTTGAGAAAATTAAGAGTAAACCTCGAACAGTAGGCAAATACTCACAATAAACAGAAGAAACGAATGCACTAGAAGGACCAGAAGTGTTTTTTTTTTTTTGTTAAAGCCATGCAAAAGGAAGCCTCCAATTTTGTTAACAAGAATTCAAATACATGAAGGTGTACAAATAAGTCTTCTATAAGTTGTATCTAAAGTTAATTGTTAGTGGCAGAGCTCTAATTATACAATTTGTCACACGGAAAGACCAGATACTTGGACTCATTTGTTCCCTTACAATAAGTTTTACAAGATTCCTCAAATTGACTGGCTGAAGATTACTGTACAGAGGATTAAGCAAGAAAATAGAGGGTGTTCGCAATAGCATTTCTTTTAAAATATGCATTGCAAAATATTAGCAGGGCCAGCCCTTTCATGAACTATTAATTGTTCAACAAAACTGTATGGATAATATAAAACAGCAATCAAAATGTAACTTTTTAGGGTCTGGAGTTCTTGGTATAGAAGGTAAGTAGTGGGAAAATGTAGATTATTCTTCATTTTTAATTAGAGTCCTAAACAACTTAATTCTAGGAGAGGGTCCAGAAGCACATTAGCTATTGGGAAGGGAGCCAGCTGGGAATTAAATATTTGCTATTGAGGAGACTGCATGATAGAGTTTAATTTTGGTAGCTGCTCATAATTATTTCCCCACCTGCTACATACTTTACCAACAGCTCTTCCAGGGTATATATTCTACTTACAGACTCAAAAGTTTGTTGATTTTCCCTCATATATGAGACACAAGCTTTCCTGATTTCCAAATGATGGACCTGGCTGCAAAATAACTAAAGAGAAGAGAAAGACCAGTCCGTTGTCAGTAGCCCTTTAAAAGAGGTACTTCTAAATCAAGACTATGAACTGAACACTTATGCCTTCCTTATTCAGAATATATGTAGGAAATTGGGAAATTAATTCCTTATCGTACTAAAAGTTTTTTAAATCATCTTCAACGTAATTGGGGAGCGATGGCTGTCATGCCCCATCCCCTTTTCTACTCCTTATGTTCACAGCCTGTAAATTTTTTCCTAGGCTTTAAAAGTAGAGGAAGCAGGTGATGCTTAGAAAGGATCAAGATATATTTCAGTTTTCTTTAGCCCCCTTATCTTACCCCTCCTACATTACAAACTGGCATTTAAAATACAGAAAAGATAGCAAAAGTACAGCAACATATTTAGACTAATCAGCAAAGGCATGCACCAAGATAGGAAGAAGCAAGCAGCTTCTCTCCAAGACCTGATAGGCCTGGATGTTTTCACTAGCAAACAGAAAAGGGAATTTTTTTTTCTTTTGGCAAACTACAGGACCGTGCCATGTCTCAAACTCTGACAACTTAGTACAGGGAAGATATATGTTTTCATTTTACCTGCTCCGAAATAGCCCGAAAGAGGCAAGAGGCATCCTTGGCAGTCAGCTTTCGAAACAGCCCTAAGCTGCCTAAATATTCATCCATTGATGTCTCATTCCAAGACTTCTGGCTGCAGTAGTTTTTCCATCCTTTATGCATTTTGTACGGGGCGGGGTGAGAGGGAGAGAGAAAAAAGTGTGGCAAGATGGAAAAAGTAGGGTGCAGGGAGGATGGGCAGCAGTGACAAGGGCCTGCTTAGGCAGGTATCCGGAAAGCAGCCCAAAGTCTAGGCCTGAGAAGACAGTTGAAGTCAGCGCTGCAGAATCTTGGCACTTCCCAGGAGCAGAAGCAATGGACTTGGCTTGCTCAGCACAAGTCAGGACCCTGTGAAAAGAAGAGGAAAAGCCAATCCTCCTAGGAATAGGGAACTGAACTGAGGCGGAGACATGGGAGGGAGGGAGAAGGTGCTTAGAGTTACCTCCTTGGGGAAGAGTGGGATTAACCCAATCAGCCCAAGGTTGAGAAAAGTGCGCATAAGCAGCTGAGCTTTGGGACTAGAAGGAAACTGACTTTGCAGCTTAACTCAGGGCAACTGCTGCACGAGGCTGAAAAGGGACTACAATAAGGCTCAGGTGTGTAGGATGCAGCCCGGTTCGTTACATTGCTTTAAGATCTCTAGCTGAATTTTCAACTACAGTCTCTGCCCAAACTCCCAGCTCCTTCCATAGTTTCAGGGAAACATGAAGGGAGAGAATCTTCATGAACCTAGTTAACCAGTGAGCATTTTCATTAATATCTTTTTAATACACACACAAAAAAGGAGAAGGAACTTCCCTTAATCTATAGTGGCAGAGGGCACACAGTTCAAGCTAACTGCCAAAGCAATTGCCTGATATCTAAGATATAGGGTTGAAGTAATCTTCCCATTTAATTCTAGATAATAGTCCCTGCCAGGATCACAAAAACTAAATCTTAGTAGCCATGCTAGGGAACCCTTATACAATTCTTAATTAATGGCTCCAAAGTATTATATGGTACCAATAAAAAGGAAAAATGCAAAGAAAGTGTTTCTTTAAAAATGTAAATAATTTAAATGGAAGCAGCATGAAAATATCCACAAACTTTCTAATAGACTACATTTAAAATATTAAGGTACAGTATGAGATGAGTTGGACAATGAGAAATGTTTTTCAATGTTTTACTAGGGTACTTCTCCAAAAACATTACTCTGGATTATTCGAAAACCAAAGAAAATACTAAGTGTCAAAGGCAGGCCCAATTACTTGTGTTATCTGTTTCCATTATCTATACTATCTAGTGTCTTTTATTTTTATTTAAATGCAAAAATCCAATTCCTTTCTTACAGTTTTCTTAAGTATTTAAAAAAATAGGTCAAAAGCTGGCTTTGGAGAAGGCACAACATTAAGCTGCTTTAAAAACTGTTTTTTTTCTTTCCTTTTTTTTTTTTTTTTGTATCTGTGGATCCAGTAGTAATCATGACTGCCCCCTTTGGAAATACAGCAATATTTTATAATTTAGGAATTAAATAATGGTTGACATGGTAAAAAAGGAATAAATCTTGACTTCCTTAGCCAATTTGAAATTACCTTAACTAATTTTTTTTTTAAAAAAGGTCTCATTCTGTCACCGAGGCTGAAGTACAAGTGCAGGGTGTGAACACAGCTGACTGCAGCCTCAACCTCTTCGGATCAAACAATCCTCCCTTCTCAGCGTCCCAAGTAGCTAGGACCACAGGTGCATACCACCACAGCCGGATAATTTTTGTATTTTCTGTAAAGACGGCGTCTTGCCATATTGTCCAGCTGGTCTCAAATTCCTGAGTTAAAGCTATCCTCCCATCTTAGTTTCCCGAAGTGCTGGGATTACAGGCATGAGCCACCATGTCCAGCCACTAATTTCGTTTTTAAAAAACTCTGGAAAAGTGATGCCTTTGGCAAAAGTTCTGAAACATACTGTTTGGGAAGAGGGATTGCCATCTTTCATTATGCCCACTAATTCGCTGAGAAAAACTAATTAAAGGTTATAATTTAAAAATGTTTGTTTCCAGTATTTTGTACCTGTAAAGAAAAACACAAATGCTTCACATCTACTGCTTTTTAAGCAAAAAATAAGTATGGTATAAAAAACAATGCAATCTACATGCTTCATTTTGAAGAAGGGAATGGGGGAAGGGAAAATCAGGAGAGGGAGGGAGACAATCAGAAAGGTAATAGGAGAAAACTGAAAAAAAAAAAAACAGGGACAGAAAGACAAAAAGAGATAGAGCAAAAGAAAAGTAACGCACAGGGAAGCACACAGAAGTAGACCCACACAAATATGGTCAATTGATTTTTGACAAAGGTGCAAGATCATTTCAATAGAGAAAAGATAGCCTTTTAATCAAATGGTACCAGAACAATTGACCATCCACATGCAAAAAAAGATCCTCAACCTATACCTCACACCATGTACTATAATTAACTCAAAGGGGAACACAGATATAAATGTAAAACAAAACTTCAATATTTTTAAAAAGAAAATGTAGGAGAAATCTTTAAGATCCAGAGTTGGGCAATGAGCTCTCCAATACATCATAAAAGAAAGAAAATTGACTAATTGGATTTTATCAAAATTAAAAACTTTTGCTCTGCAAATGAGATTGTTAGAAGAATGAAAATACAAGCCATAGACTGGGAGAAGATATTTTTACATCACATATCTAACCAGAAAAACTTTGTAACAAAATATATAAAGAACTCTGAAAAGACAACAATAAAAAAAAAACCTGATTTCTTAAATTGAAAAGATATTTGAATACACATTTCACTAAAGATATAACAATGGCTAATGAGCACAGAAAAGATATTCAAAATCACTGATCTCTAGGAAAATAAAAATTAGAACCACAATAAGACATCATTACAAACCCACCAGAATAGCTATAATAAATAATACAGACAATAACTAGCATTAGCAAGGATTGGAGAAACTGGTCCTAAGATGCTGGATGCAAAAATTCTATGATTCCAAAAGTAATATGATTCCATTTACATGAAATATGACAAAAGGGCAAATCTAGATACAGAAAGCAGATTAGTGGCTGCCCAGGGCTGGAGTGGGAGTAGCCATTGACTACATATAAACACAACGAATCTCTTTGGAGTAATAAAAATCTTCTAAAACCATTTTGTGGTGATATGTGCATAATTCTGTATATTCACTTAAAATTAACTTGTACTTTTAAAACTGGTAAATTTAACAGCTTTCAGGTATGTCACATACCATATAATTCTCCCACTTAAAGTATACAATTGCATGTTTCTTTGTATATTCAGAGTTGTGTATCCTTTACCATACATAATCAACTTTAGAACATTCTCTTTACTCCCATACTGACATCCTGCATCCTGTAGCTGTCAACCTCTAATCCCTCTATCTCCACCAACCCCAGACAACCACTAATCTAATTCCTGAATCTGGAGATTTCTCTATTCTGAACATTTCAAATAAATGGGATCTTAAAATACGTGGTCTCGTGTGACTCACTTTTTACTTAGCATAAGGTTTTCAAAGTCCACTCATGTTGTAGCATGGTGCATCACTACATATTTCAATCTACTGTATAAACCAAAATTTGTTTATCCATTCATTAGTTGATAGAAATTTGGGTTGTTTCTACTTTTGGGCTATTATAAATAATATTTCCATAAATATTCACATACAAGTTTTAGTTTGGACTTATGTTTTCAATTTTCTTAGGTATATACGTAGGAGTGGAGTTACTAGATCATAGGATAACTCTAGGTTTAACCATGTGAGAAGCTGTCAAACTGTTTCTCACAGCAACTGCACCATTTTACATTCTTACCAATAGTGTATGAGGGTTTCATTTTCTCTATACCTTATCAGTACTTGTTATTTTCCATCTTCTGATTACAGTCATCCTAGTGGGTGTGAAGTGGTAGCTCACTGCGGTTTTGATTTTCATTTCCCCAGTGGCTAACGATATTAAGCATCTTTTCATCTGCTTATTGTCCATTTGTATATCTTTAATGGGATACCACAACATACATCTTAGAATAACGAAAATAATTTTCTTTAACCTGATAATACCAAGTGCTGAAAAGGATGCAGAACAACTGGAACTATCATGTTGCTAGTGGGAATGTAAAATAGTGCAACTACTGTGGAAAATAGTTTAGCAGCTTCTTACAAAATTAAACAGAATTACCATATGATCAAGCAATCCACTTCTAGATATCCACACAAGAGATATGGTAACACAAAAACCTCTATGTGAGTGTTTATAGTAGCTTTATCATAAGCTCTCAAAACTGGAAACAATCTAAACATTTTTCAGCTGGACAAAAACTGTGGTACATTCAAACAATAGAACACTTCCCAGGAATAGAAAATTAAAAAAATATTGATACATAAAAGAACATGTATCTCAAATGTGTCTGAGAAGTGAAAAAGACAAGGTTCAAAAGGCCACACACTGTATGCCTGCATTAATATGTCATACTGAAAAAGGCCAAACCATAGGAAGGGAAAACAGATTAGTTTTTGCCATTAGTTAGGGTTGAAGAGAAGGGTTGACTACAAAGAGGAAGGATAAATGGGGCAGTGGAATTGTTCTGTATCTCAGCTGTGGCAATGGTTACATGATTATGCATTGGTCAAAATTCTAGAACTATATAAGAAAATAGGCGAATTTTACTGTATTTAAATTGAACAGTAAATAAAATGAAAAGGAGAAGAAATATAACAGAGTTGAGGAGCTCAAAGAATAGTCAACAAGATTGGAAAGAAAAAAATAAGAAAATTAGATTATCACTCTTGGAAAGCCAACATTTAACCAACAGGAAGCCCAAAGTGAGATGAAGAAAGCAGAGGGAAAGAAATGAAGATGATGATGATGATGATGACAACAATATAAAAAAATTCAAGCACTGTAGAACATGAGTATCCATATTAACATTGAAAGGGCCCATGAAGTAGCCACAACATGAAAGCAAAAAAGATCATCAGCCCTGTAACAAAGTTTCTCAAGTCAGGGGATAAAGAGAAGATCCTAAAGCTTTCAGAGAAGAAAAACAGTTTATATACAAAAGATCAAAAATAGGAACACCAATGTACTTCTCAAAAGAAAAACTAGGATTCAGAAAACAAAGAAGCTCCAGATTAGAAGGGAAGTTATTTCCAACCTTTATTTCTATACCAAGCTATCAGATGGAAGAGTAAAACAAGGTGTTTTCAGAAAAAAAAAAGATTCAAAAATGTTGCCACCCTTTCTCAGAATGCTACTGAAGATATGTGAAACCAAAATAATTTTTTGTAAAGTCCAGGAATGGAAGGGAACAATCTTGGAAATAGGAGATTCA